TATTCAGAGAATGTCAGTCGCAACCAATGAAAACAAGGCTCAGCGCACTGCAATCTGGCTTCCAACAGGCATCAAGATCAATCCAAATACTTGGTGCTGGCTGAACACCCCCAGCAGGGCACGGGTGTAATCTTTGTACTCACAAAGCAAGGTCAACAACAGCTCAGTAAAACACAAGGTTACTTAAAGCCATAAACACATTTTTTCAATCTCAAATCAATTTAGCATTGCGTGGATTTTTAAACATGTTTGGTTGGAATATACTCGATGGCTGAGCAGTACTTTCAGTGTTGAGTTCATCAGTACTCTCACCAGAAGATGTGATATTAAAGCATTCAACCTGAAAACGTTTCTGACGGGGTAGAAAATGTAAAGTATAAGCAGCTGAAGTTATGTCAGCTCAGACACAATAATCCCAGCCAGGAGGTAGTCAGCCATCCGGCAGCACATTATTTGACCTAACCATGTCCCGGTAAATCAAAATAACGTCTTTCTATGTGCTTGCTCTGTCCACTACCCCGGACTCCGGCAGCAGCAGCACAATGCGAGACGACGTGGTGCAGCTGAGTAGAGCACAGCTACTCAGGCGACGGTTAGGGCAGCCATTTATGCTCCGAAAACGCGGGGTCCTAATAATTATAAAGCCACACGAAAACATAACCTACACGCGGGAAATGGCGCTATTAATCTATCAGGCATTTCCAAGTATCACTTGTTAACTACCGGCGGTTGTCGCTATCTCGCAGTTCTCAATAGGTTTCATTTTATCTAAAAATTATTACTAACTATACTGTGCAAATGACACAGAGGAGCTTAATCGTGAGAAGTCTTGATTTCCTGAAATCGCCCCAAATAGAGCTGACGATTTAAAGCATCACTCTCTCATAAACAGGAAAAGATGCGACTCATCAGGCTACGCAATAGTCGTTAAAATCATAACAGCTACGAGGTCGCTAACTTGGTCGAAAGTTGTGATTGCTACATTCCGACTCAACAATGCTACTCGCACTTACTCACACGTTGACATAAAAAAATGGAGGCTAAAAAAGGAAACAAGAGCTCCCCTCTTAAATACCACCCATTTCTCCTAACCGCCACCGAGGCTGGGGGTTGGTTGGTGGGGGAGGTGAAGAGGAGCAAGTCACTACCCAACAGATCTGGTTTTCTGGTTGCTGGCTTCCCTTCTCTCTCTCATACACACAGGGAAAAAATAACAGGCACAAACAGGGAACGCACAACCGAGCTTTCACCTTGATTCACACGCCTGAGCTAAGTTAGGAATGTTGCCAAAGACAATTGCATTAACATGATGTAGCCAAACACCACCATGATGCAGACACCATATTTTTTTATAAAATCAAACGTATTAGTCTAGAATATCACTGCAGATATGAGTTCATCTTACACATTCGTCTTAAGGTGTAACTATACATAGCGAAAGGTTCATGCTGTGTGTTGTAACGTAGTGGTTCAAAATAAGGACACAATCAACTGGAAAACATCCAAAAAGTTAGCTAAAAGGCTAATATAGCATTTGTTGCCTATGGATCGTCTGCTAACGTTAACCAACACAGCAGCTGGTTGCTTAGCTAACATGAGTCGCACATAATGATCAAATTGCAAGTTGTGTCATGGATAACTTTTATATAATTCGACAGTTTCGTGGCCCCAGAACTCCATTTAACATATTGATGTCAAAAGAAGAATACAAAAAGGGGTTTTAGGTTCTAACAAAACAAGTTTGCATATTACCTTGCGCGGTCTGGTTCTTAACTTCCTTGCCCGATAGATGGGATGCAGGTCTAACGTTATTCCCCTCTCAATTTTAACCTAATAACAGCTATGCAACAAACGCGATTGAAGTACCTATTATGTGCTGCTAGTGTTGTTTTGACCGTGTAACGTTAGGGTATGTTGAGCCTCTGCGGAAACACATTATAGAAACTTGCTCAACAAACCAAGATTTATTTATTAATGCTTTAAAAACGACACCACTTTGAAGCTTAGTGGGCTCGGGCAAAACATAGTTTTTCAAATTGATAATATAACGTTATATCCACAACCAACTGTTTGCTGACTGGTTTGCTCCTGGTATTAAAACTGAGAAAAAAACTGAAGACACCCCTGATGGACTAAACGTTGCACGAGTAAAACTCCTGAAAACTTGCAGAATAGTGCTGAGAGCTTTGCGGACATGATTGGTCGAAATAATGTTGTAACAGTGGCCATTAGAGAGGTAGTAATGTAATGGATTCCCAGAATAACAAGCTGGCTATCATAAACAACACGAGGAGCTGATCAAAAAGTCATGGAAGACCAGTCCAGACACAGCTAAGAGCAGCCCTGCAAGGCACGCCATCAACATGGGGAGTTTTTTGAGCCAGCAAATCAAGCCACTTAAAAGTGTAAAGATAGTGGGGGCAACTAACTTGTTCTAATAAACTTAAGTGGACACTCAGTAGTTAGCTAAGTTGGTTAGCTTCATAGCTACGTTTGGTTAACTGAAAACTTGACCAGTACGTGTCTGTTATATTTATATTACTGCCTTCATTTATAGAGGGTGAAATTAACAATTAACACAGATTTAAAGTACTCACCTAAAGAGGCATTCCAAACTTGAACAAACGAGGCAGATGCATGTACAATGGCAAGTCCTTAGAGTATCCCAACATCGAATCCAACCAGACCAGTAGGCCTGTAAGTCGGCCTCGGAGTCTCCTGTATCCTTTGCCCTTAAAAGTAGCTCCCTCTCCAGGGGTAGGAAACAAACTTCTCAGTGTCTCCCACGCATAGGCGGAAAGTTAAATTCCCTGTCCTGTTCAGGTGCACTGCATCCATTGAGTGTCTATTATAGATCCCCGGTGGATAAATCCATGTATTTAAGTGTATTGTATATATACAGTCGCTATTTATAATGGGGTATATGCTGCTGTATGTGATACAGGGCTCTGATTCTGTCTCGGGTCCTTACATTCGCAGAGGCGCCCATCCCCCTCCTCACCGGCATCGACCGCGGGTCCCAGCGAAACTGACACACAACCACGCCACGGGGTTTCCCTGGCGACAGTGCAGGGGCTCTCTCCTTGGGCGGCCCTTGCTGCGATGTCCCGCCTCTCACCGATGATTGGACAGCAATGTGTTAGTCATGAAGTCTTCGGTAAATTACAGCGTAGTTTTTTTTTCTGCCGTCAACTACGTCAAAGAGGGCGGGCACAGCTTAGAGGAGGGGTGCGAAATTTCTCTTCCATTATGATGTGTGTACTGGTGGCGTTCAAGAAGGAGAGCGAGGGAGAGTGGCTGGATTCTGGAGACAATTTGACACCCAACAGCGGATCTGTACCTTCAAAGTTCCGGGAAATGCTCGTTATTAAACTCAAAGTCCATGGAATTAATTTGAATTCGTTAGTGGGATTAATGCTTTTTATTTCAGGGTTACAGTCATCTACTTAACGTGGAAGGAGCTTTCATACCAATACATAGCAAGCGTTAGCTACACGGGGTCTCTGGGGCCCAGTTCCAGGGACACCAGAGGCAGGGTTAGCCCACTGGGTCAGCCCCACCTACCGGTATGTCAGATGAATGGAGTATGAGGTGTCGCTCTGGTAGCATCTGGTAAGGGGTTGGACAGGAAAATTGACCAGTGCTTCTGGGTTGCATCTACTTATCACTGGTCCCTCCTACTCCCGTCCCTGCTGCCGATATCAGTCTATTCCCACACTTTACAGACACAGAAAAAGTTACCGTCACAACGAAAATACCTCTATCAGCATCGGCTCAATAAACTATTCCATGGGTGATGTACCAGAGGAACGGGCGAAAAGAAACGAGCGTAACCGTTGTTGTGACGGTTACATATAGAGAATTGAGGCGCAGCCCTTGATTCTCAGCAAATATTTTAAAATTAGTCGTTTATTCACCACGCACACTGGATCTACAAACAGAGCGGAATAGTCATTCTCAACTGATTCAAGTAAAGCATATTTTCTTGGCAACTGGACTGCGATATTTATAAACAAATAGTCATAATGACGCGATTGGTTTCTTGTCCTGTCATGAGACTTGGGGGGGCACTTTGATTGGCTGTGGTGATAAACGCCAACGTCATTTGTTGCAGAGGTCTGACGAGCGACGAAGTTAGACAGCAGAATAATAAAATTGCCACATTGCGGCTCTGGGGCTTCCATATAAAGTCGATTACAAGTCCGAGCTGTAGAAATCAGAATCAGTAAACATGTTTATGGTTGTATTTGATATATGTGTGTATGGCTACATATGCATTTAAGATACAGGCCGAACAATGCAGTACGGATGTATAATACTGAGCTTGTAACTTATTGTGGCAGAAATGTAGACTATCTCTGGACATAACTTAAACACTCAGACCATCAAACGGTCGTATGTTATGGAATTCAAGAGGCACGGTAATACTTAAGAGTCAAATCAGGTACTTCGCCATAAATTTAAAAGTGCTAACACACTCTAGCTAAGCCATGGACCAGACTATCTTTCCAATAGCCGATGCATTCATTATATAAAGGTGCCTTGCCCTATAGCAACCGCCAAGGTATATTATTAGGAAATCAACTTCTTTATATTTGACTCGACTCATAATTTCACCAGTGTATATATTTTTAAGTATAGGTTTTCTAAGAATAACGTTAGCTTTTCCGTCCTTTTGTGGCATTTTCTTTAGTTGGTGCTTTTTATAACCACAACCACCAGAATCATTTCCGACAGGACGTCATGAGGTTAATTGAAGGACAGTGTACAAGCCTTCCAGCCGGACTCGCGTGGTAGGCAGTGGCCATATTTCACAATACTGCCATTGTTACTGCGGTGAAAAAGCAATGTCATATGGCCAGTCCAAACCACGCACTGCAATATGGCTGCGTTCAACCCTCCCCCACACTGCTTTCACTGCCTGAGCTCCAGCATATCTCTTTCATATGCAGAATCTGTATGTTCCGAGTCTGTAAAGTAAAAAACACGATTCAAGATGCTTGTTACTTAACCGGAGGCATTTTTAATTGTCTCCATAGTCTGAAGCACTCACACAAATAACTATATAACATAGGAGGTATCAAAGTGTGGACATGTTACTAAAATTGACATAACTTTGGGATTCCAACGGTCTGTTCAAATGTACATTTCATATTGCATGCATGCCACTGCCATTTTTTTTTTTTAAGATTTCGGTTACAAATAAAATCTTTGACATTAAGATAAGAATTCTGGGAGAGGCAGCTCATGCCCACAAATATGTTAGTGAGAACACAGACACACAATAGCTCACACAGCATTCATTGTGTATTAAGATTATTAGTGGGCAAGACTATTCACCAAGTAATAACTGTCACACACACAATTATTTGCGTTCTGTCAAGCTGTAATTTGATCAACCTCATTAGTGTAAACTATCCACTTCAGGCCATCAGAGTGCATAAAGTTAGGCCCAGACATTTTGGCTCCACATAACTTCTCGCCTGTCATCAGATTTTTACTAATAAATCCAAAAATTATAATTTAGGATTTTTTTTTCCTTCTGCACAAAGAAAAAAAAAAAAGACAATACAACAAAGTCCAGTAAATGTGCATACTGTTTAGGATGGCACACCACAGATTATACAGTATATGGCCCCCAACAGGCATATGTATACAAAATATAGCCATTTATCAATAATGAGTAATGTTACTGAGTCTATAGGATAGGGATCTTTGGGAGATTAGTTGCATACAGACACAAAATTATTTAAATGTCAAAAACGAGTGTTCACATATCAGTTAATAAGTTACCCTTCACTCAGGAGTAGTGAATCCGACAGGGAAATACTACATCAGCTATGGGTATAAATTATACTTACATTATATATAGTCTAAAGTACACAGCCCCTTGCATAAGCAAAACTACAATATTGGTCAACCACCAAAAATACTTGATTTTAATTTGCCATTATCTGCAACTGGACAACAGACTAGATGTGTTTGAAAATGGATTAAGATTTCTAATAAGACTCTCTTCTAAGTAGGTGGCCTGTTTGAGAAAGAAAAAGGTCACCAGAAAAAGAAAATTCAACTGCTTTTGCTCGTTCCCCTGTGAACAACCAGTCTCTCTCCCCTCCTCCTCTTAATGGCCAACTAAGCGGCTCAGACAAAGAATGAAAGGGAAACAAATGGCTGAGGGTGTTTGTTTTCTGGTTTTGGGACATGTCTTGTTTTCCCTCCCTCTCCAGGTCTTTTTTTAAAAGGTTGTTACAGGCTTGCCAAGACTCTCCCTCCCACTGGGAAATGCCGCCCTCTGCTGGATGTCCTGTGGCGCTGCGGAGCAATGCCTCCCCCACAGTGCGGTTGAGCCCCTCAGAGCAGCTTCAGACTCCCAGTGACATTGTTCACCATCTCCTCCTCACCCATAATGGCCAAGACAGTGCGGGAGCCAGACTCCACCTGCCAGAGACAAGAGGGGAGAAAAGGGGAAGGGGGCAAGGGTGTTTGTGCTGAGATTCAACATGTCAAGGCACTGGGAAACACTGACAAAATCTAGTATATTTTTAAGCACATATATTAATACCAATAATTTGACACTATTTTGGGAATGATTACTAGTCCCTCCAAAAGAAATTCACACATAAGATTACTTTGAAAATGGCTTGTTCTCTCACCTGGGTAAGCCCTGCATCCTGGACCAGGTAAGTGGGCAGGCTGAGGCTCATGGCCAGGGCCTGCAGCTCCAGTAGATGAGCCACATTCGTGCCCTGGACCACCACCTTCTTGGCTCTGTATCAACACCATGCACATTTATCGTATTTATTTGTCATCTGTGTTAATTAGAATTAACTTAAATATTATAAATAAATCTGCAGTCAACAACATCAGCTATGACATACTTGGCTGAACTGAGCAATTCTACAAAACAAGCAATGACAGAATCCAGTGTGTGAGGTCAGAAAGATGCCAGAATACAGACACAGATAGTGGAACAATGATGCAGAAAGAACAAAGCCAAGGTAGGACAGCTATCCAGAGACAGTGTAAGGACTGCCTTTTTTCTTTTAATTCAAGAGATGAAAGGGTGGCAAGCGTTTAAGCAAACCTTAACTGAAATGTACAGACAAGTATATAAACACTTAAGGAACTGGAGCATTATAGCTACAGCTGGTAACCTTTATGTAAACTTTTTGTCATATTTGGTGAAACTGTCACTATATCCACACAGTAGTGCATGAGACAGATATTCTGACATAACAATCTTGTCCCTCCTCCTCATAGTGAACTGGCATTTGCAAGAATCACTTGCATGCACTTGAGCCTAACGAAGCACCAATAGACAGTACTTCTGGAGCAAACTTTATCATATTACAGCTAAACAGTACACTAAAATATGTTCCTGAAAACATCTGAGGTGAGAAATAGGCAATGCAGTCAGGGAATCTTGATTCATAGTGAGCTGCAGTCAGAGACTGCTCAGCTCTGATTGGTCATTGATGTCCGGTAATGCCATTAGAAGTACTACAAAGAGGAGGAAGATGATTTTTTTTCACAGATGATCTGTTCCATGTAATACTGTGTGGATATAGTAACAGTGTCAGCAAATATGACGGAGAGTTATATTAATAAATGTTACCAGCTGGAGCATTAATGGATTTCTGCAAACAGCAGCAGTAAAACATGCAGCTCCTGAAATGAACTGTGATGCTGAAGATAGCAGAGTTTAAGATATGGACACTTACTTTCCATGCCATATTTTAACTATGGTCTTTTAAGAAAAACATCAGATGTAGAAGATGTCTGTACTGCAAAACTCTGTACAAGTGTAAAAGCTGATGCAATGGCACTGTTAAAATTTATACTATGAATTGTTTTCAGATTGCTAAATTTCAGTTGCATTCCTTGCAACTCATTTGCTTTGTTTTAAATATTTCTTGTTAATAGTATGGTGACTGCAAGTAAAATACCAAAGATTTACACCATCTTAAAATATGCACGTATTCAGTGTGAGCCAGTAAATTCATGTTTGGCTTTGCCAATGAACTAATATCACCACAAAGTGAGGGGTTGTGTAAATTAAAGGTACATAACAATTACATGACGTTTCAGGGCGTCTCTTCTCAACCAACATACTGTCCGAGCCTTACCCACTGTGGTCCCACTTCCAGGCCATCTCCCTCCAACTGTTCTTCTCCTGCAGAGCCTGGTACAAACCCACAGCAGCATGACCAACCTGAGCCGCCACCTGCACAAACATACAGCACTGAATTCACACCTACACAGAAATCAGTCAGTTTTCAGCTGTACTAAAAATGGTCTTTATGTGCTGTTTCTGACCGCATTCAAATAAAAATACACACACTGAACTTGAAAAAAGATAACTCAGCACAAAAAAGTTCTCCTTTATGTTTCTGAGTGGAAAAACATTCTGTAGGATAGATTGTATATTTGAACACAACAATATCCCACACTGTCCACATTGGCACCACTGGACTTACCTTTCCAACACCCATGGCAAGGTCCATGTTCACCACAAACACCATCTTGAACATGAGGTCATCGTCTCCTTCCTCCTGAGGGTCAGAGCAGACAAGAAGAGACACTGAGATTTGGCTTTGGACAAGCTCCACAAGGTCTAATGTACCAAGGTGTACCTGTGGGGACTAAGGCTAGCTTATGGGCACCTCATTCTCCAGCTTGTTGAAGTAGTACATTGCCGCCTCCTCGGCAGACACGTTCCGAGTGTGAAGAAGTGCCTGGATTGATTAAAAAAAAAAAACAATAAATAAGGTCAGAGAACAAAGTAGTGCATAACAATGTGTCCAAGCCTACCATTCATTTTGCCTGACAAATGATAAACTAAGCCATACATGTATTCAGTCAAAAGTTGTTTTTTTTTTCTTTTTTTACACAATTATTTCACTGGCTCTGCTCAATTAATACTGAATTATTACTTGGGATATTCAGCCATTGGTGGGGGCCGTGTGTTCTTGATCAAGACACCATTAAATTAGGATGTAACTGATAAGGTTTAAATGATGAGATCTGGCTGAATACAACTGCAATATGCAACTCTTCCAGTCATAAGTATCATTGAATGTTGATTTAAATGTGGCCTAAACGCTGAAGTAAGCGTTCCACCCTGAGTGGACTGTCCTACCTGCTTGGCTGCCTCCTCTGGGATGTCCAGCTCTCTGAGCTGCTGCAGAAAAACAGGGTTGACATCCTGAGAGCCGGAGTCTGGTCCTGACTGTTCTGATGGCTCCATTCTTGACTGTAATAAGGGAAACAACAACAGTGAACACCCTGCTCAGCACTAACCCATGGAACATGAACATGAAATAACAAAAATTGATAACATGAGAGTATAAATGTCACATATACCTGGGGTCCACGGTGGAAAAACATATCAATAACTGTGTGCTGTTTAGAGAGCACTTTAAAACATCTCCGAATGTATTCGTCATGCTACTATAAAACAGCTCCCCAATATGCTGCATGTCTCTGAATGCATGATTTGCACATATGAATTAGCACTAACGTTACACGCTAATAGAATGAACTGAGGCCTGCAGTCTTTAATTGCTGGATTTTTACACGAATTATTTCTAACGTTAAACTGTCACAGTGTATTTTCACCTGACCGAATTGGATGGTAAAACGGCATACATTAGTTCACCTCTCCAAGCAAGGCCGTATTAAAGCTTAATGGAGAGTGATATGACGTTATTTTCATGGTCGAGTAGGGAATATGGGAAGAACCAAACATAACACTACCCTAACAGACAGCAACACAGTGTAACGAAACAAGCTATAGGTTAGCTGACGAAAGCGCCAGCTAACGTTAACTTTGGGTTTGGCTGGATGACAGCTGTTAGCTCACAACATACGTTAGCTACACACCATTCACATTAGCGTTAGCATCGCAAACAAAGCAGCTAACATAACGTTAGCAACATTAGCTTTCGTTTGGACTTACCATGCTATTTCAGTAAGTTAACAGCACGAGTCACAAATTGCATTAAGACGCTTAACGTCAATGCTGTCTGGACAGTGAATTATTTTAACATCCCTGGCTCGACAGTTGTTGTCGCAAAGGTAGCTAACATTAGCATTAGACGCTACCGCTAACAGGACTAGCTTCAGTCCAGCAAGTTGCCTGTAGTTACCTGTTCTGCGCAGCTAGCCCCACAGCAGCAACGACGGCGATTTCCCCGCGGTTTCTAGAAGTCCTTATTTTCACCAGCAACGGGACAATTTGTGTTCGAATGTGAAATTACATTCAGTGAGATTCCCGACTGTGCTGTCTTCAGCGTTACTCCATTTTGGACTCTTGTGTTTGTTGGCACACGGTGCTGCCTCTTCTCGAATGTGGCGTTAACAGTTACAGATATTCTGGTGATATTAATTATGTGGTAAGGATATGCGGGCGCATCACGCATATGTACTGTCACCGCAGAGCTGTGTCTTTATAATCTTATTTTAACATAATTATTACAGTGTTTTTTAAATACTAAATCTACAATGACCATCCCTCGAAATATTTTCAACCTGGGAACAGGCGAGAATTTTTTTTTTGTCTGTTGCAGCTGAGTAACGATTAACTGTATAAACGTCGGTGGTCGATTGACTCGGCAGACTGGCAACATCTCAGTGTCCTGATTTTCACAGTAATATCTAACGTTACCTCATAAACACGCACAGCACCAGATAATCTAGCCCCAGATAGTTTACACCATCAGAGGCAGGGGCATAGCACCAAATTTTGCCCGCTATTTATTAATTAATTAATTAATTAATTAATTAATTAATTAATTAATTAGGCTAATTAATTTTTCTCACAAAGTCGGTTTACCTTCTTTACCTTCCCTTTCTTTCTTTTCTTTTTTGGAACATGCTTTTTCTTTCTTGGGAAAAGACATGGCCAGGGTTCCTAAAACTTGGGGCTTTTTTAGTGCCACTTGGAATGAAATTTAAGACCAAAAAACAAACAAAAAAACCCATTAACTGAAATCAGTGACTAAGGGTTGGGGACATTTTAGCCCACGTTTACTGTAACATAAAACACATAAGTCTTTGACTTGTGGCAGAGACAAGGGTAGAACAGGACTGAGGTAAGAAACTTTGGAAAAACCTTTTGCATCAAGTAAAATAAGCCTTGTATGCATTGTCTTGTCCTGGTTTCAGCCAAGACGTGAAATCTTGGTCAAAAGTCAGTTTTCGTTGAATTTGCACTTCCCCATGCCGTCTACGATACAGTGACAGCTAGCTAGCAGACCAAGGGTCTGCTCTGAGCATCTTGGCTGGAAAACAAAATATGAGTGTTGCTGGTTCTGCTATCCTGATGTGGTAGCATTAATGTGACAAGCATATGGGATTTAAGATAGATGTTACCAGTTATTTTGAGATTTTACAATGCAACATCATCTTAGCATTTTAAAGACTTTTAACAGATTAAGACATTTTCATACCAATTATGGCCTTATATTTGGATTAACATATTCAATGCCTTTTAAGACTTTTTTAAGGATCCGCAGGAACCCTGATGACAGTGTGTGTTGGTGCTTCAGCAGCGTAGGCAGTTACTCCCTCGACTTTAGATGCGTTTAGACAAGAATCCTAGTGCAGGGTTGGACTAAACCATTTTGTTCCTTTAAAGGGTTAGATCAATCGCTCAACCGATTTATTCAGCCAATTTTAAATTAGTTAGGGCACTAATCAATCGACAATCAATCAACATTTATTTCTATAGCCCTTTACAAAACCCAAAGGTACCCAAAGTGCTTAACAACAGTGTCAAATAACAATGAAAAAAAACAATACATAAAAGGAAAAACAAACAAACAAACAAACAAACAAAAACAATGGAAAGTGCGACAGTGCTACAGGGTATTAAAAGCCTTTCAACATAGATAAAATACATTAAAACAGAATAAATAAACCTAAAAAAGGATAGCCCTAGTCAGACTTAAAAGCCATTCTAAAAAGGTAGGTCTTCAGCTTAGATTTAAAAAGGCCAAGATCAGTATTGGTGTGAATGTCAGGGGGGAGCTTGTTCCACAAACTTGGAGCAGCACCAGCGAAAGCGCAGTCACCCCATTTTTTGTATTGCGACCTTGGGACCTCTAAAAGAAGCTGACCAGATGAACGCAGGGCCCTGCCACTATCGCGGATAGTTAAAATCTCTGACAGGTAGGGAGGAGCCAGGCCATTAATGGCATTAAAAACAAACAACAGAAGTTTAAAATCTATCCTAAAATGAACTGGAAGCCTGTGGAGTGACGACAGCACAGGAGTGATGTGTTCACGTCTGGGCGTGTTTGTTAAAAATCGGGCCGCAGCATTCTGTACAAGTTTAAGTCATGAAAGGGTTACTAATTACCTCAAAACAATTTAATTATCAAATCAACAATTTAAAACAAAACCAAACTTTTAATTCCAGGCTTTTCAAGGGCCTCCCTGCCATTGGGGCCCTGGTTAATCAGTCCCACTTTTCCCCCCCAGCTGTGACGCCCCTGCAGCTGAGTAATGATGAACTGTATAAAGGGCGGTAGTTGATTGACTCAGCAGATTAGCTACATCTTGGCTCCCGATCTCCATGGTAATCTCTGCCTTCTGAACCTGGATATCACTAGATAATCTAGCCCCAGATAATTTACACCAGTGGTTACCAACTGGTGGGTCACTGGTCCATTCTGAATGGACCTCAAGTGACTTGCCAACCTGTCAAGTTTGTAAAAAAAAACAAAAAAAAAAACACTTTATTTTGAAGTACATTTACTTACTGTACATATAAGCATCAATGTGAAAGTTATTTCTTTGAAAAAAGAAGACACACAACACATAATTTTAAGAATACTTTATTACATCAGCATCTGGGAGAATTTGCACCTTCTGTTATTAAACATGTTAAATCACTACAGTTACACTTTAAATCAGTATGTACAATGATATAACACACAAAATAAGAAACATCCTTAAAACCGCTCCTTGCAGAGCCTGCTCTACATTGCCAATTTTATACAGCCTAATAACAGTTATAGTTTTCCCTCAAATGGCTTGTCTTTATCACCATTGGGCTTTCACCCCTGTCTGAACTGACAGTGTATGACAGAACAAACCATCTGTTCATATGACTCATTAGTTGCTTGTGGGTGTTAAGTAATGTAGTAATGAACCTATGGGCTACATTCTGACATGCTGAGCCTGGACCTGGAATGACACACATCAATACTATTTAAGGTCAGGCAGTTTTGAAATCCTTATCACTCTCATCTATTTTTGATGATGAGGGCTGGGTATCAAACTTCATACTTTTAAAATAAAAAAGACACTGTGTCTCTATCACTTACTTGAAAATTAACAAACTGTTCAGCATCAAAGTTGGCACAAAGTCTGTCTCCCTGTTAATATGGGTTTCCCCTTGCTTGCAGTCACCTGAACCCAACCATTTATCTCTGCAATGCCTAACTATAACCTAATTATTAACTAAATAAAGCCAACCACAAAGGGCAGTGCTCTGGGAAACATTTTTTTAAAAGGGGAAACAGTTTGACACAAGACCAGCAGCAACAAATGTCCAACCATACCCAGCCCGACTAACCCATAAGAAGCCGTCTCAGTCTTTGTCATTTAAATAAGCAAAACAAACATTAACCCATGTATATAAGGTCTCTGTGCTCTAACTGAAAGCAGAACAGTGTAACAAGATTAACTATACCTACTGGGACAGTAGTAGTATAATCAATACATAACCTGTATTAACTTGACAAAAATAAAATGCCATACAGACCTTCAGCACATGAAGCAGTGCCACCTTGTGTTCAATACAAGAACTGTATACCAACCATGATGTCAACACCAAAACACTTCTAACACGTATCGTCACCTCGCCCTGGATTGGAACCAGGTGAATCATGATTAACGCATTCTTCAAAACCTAAAAGGAATGTTAAAAATATACAAAACAGACATATGATGGATTTATACAATAAAACACAGTGGTGCACACTAAGATTCCACTTCATGGAGTTTATGGAAGGATTTTTACTTTTCCTCTAACATCTTTCCAGTGACTTGTACACTATAGACACATCCACATGAATAAGTATAAAAGCAACAAACAAAAAGAGAGTAAACTGTCACTCAGTCCGGGTTTAAGTACCTTAAGTACCTGCTCCAATGAGCAGGTTCTGATTTACAATCTCACACAAAGGAAAGAAAATAATGAGCTGGAAACATCTAAAATGTCTCTGTGTGTTTGTACTGCTGCAAATGAGAATGTCCTGCAGGCCTTACTGTATATGTTAATGAGGGTAGATCTGTGCTGTGCTGCTATACTGGTAGTTGTAGCTGGTTGAAAATGTACATAGTAGTGTTAGGTCACCAATATTACAGAAAAAAGGAGTATCTGATGCAGCAGAGTAGGCTGAGGTAGAGTGGCAGTGACTTGTTAGACTCTCAGCGATTGGTTTTAAAGGGATGTTCACACCAAAATTAAAAATTCACAAAATTTCCTGTTACCTGTAGTGCTGTTAATCTAGATAGTCTAGATAGATTGGTGTGAGTTACAAAGTGTTGGAGATACCGGCAGTAGAAATGGCTGCCTTCTCGCCAATACAATGGAACTAGATGTCACTCAGCCTGTGGTGCTCAATGCAACAAAAAAAAAAATACATTTGAAAAACTCAACAGCAATGTCTCTTTCCAGAAATCGTGACCTGGTTACTTAAGATAATCCACAGACCTTGTTGTGAGCAGTCTCATGTGGTAACTATTTTCTTTCTACTGAACTACACCAGGGTTGGACATTAGTACCAGCCAACAGCCAAAAAAACGCGCGCACACACACACACACACACACACACACACACACACACACACAAAAACGACGGTAATCTATTGAGGGTCTGGTAGATTTTGGATTTCACCAGCCACAGTGACCACAGGTGGACAGAAAAGTTCATTTCCAACCCTGAACTACACCTGCCAACCGTATCACTGCTCAGAAGGAAGCGTGTATCTACTGCTAGCTCACCTAGGATTCCATTAATATCTACATCTTGTGCTGTCATGGGCATGAGCACTCTCGTCCATGAGTAGATGCACACTTCCTTTTGTGTGGTGATGCGGTTCGTGGCTTTAATTTGGTAAAAAGAAAATAGTTCCTGCATAAACCTGGTAACAACAAGGTCTGTAGATTATCTTGAGTAACCAGGTCATGATTTCTGTACAGACATTGATGTTGAGTTTATCAAATGTATGTTTTTGGTGCGTTAAGCACCAGAAGCAGAGTGCCATCTAGTTCCATTATACTGGAGAGAGGTCAGACACCTCTACAGCTGATATCTCCAACACTCTGCAGCTCACACCAAAACATGTAGACTGACAAAATGCACCACAGGTAAGAGAAAAAATATGTAAATTTGATTTTGGGGTGAACTGTCCCTTCAAGCAAACAACATTGTGACGAAGGTTTCATTCTTAAACATTTCAGAGAAATAATATTGAAGCCCAGTTCACTGTTTTCTGAATACTGCTGACTGTAAGATCTAAAATATGAGAACCAGTTACTTCAATACTTTGTACAAGAAACCAGAAATGTCACAATACAAGGGGTAGATTGATAACCAGGGCAATATGGATAACTGCAAACACACACACACACACACACATACATACACACACACATTCATACACACAGAAATCACCATACACACACACAAAGGAATATCTTCAGACCATACAGCAGCGAGAAGCACACAAGGCATAAGAGGTACCGCTTTTAAAAATTCACTCCAGGGGGTCACAGTGAGATAAAATCCCATTGAAATCAGTCTTCAGATCAGATCAGCTGTCTGTAAAGCAGCTGTTTCTTTTACATGAGCACTACTGTGTAAGACCGTTAAGTTGGAAGTCCAGCACATGTTCTTCCTTCAATATCTTTACATACAGTCAACAGGAGGGACAGCAGGCCTGACTGGTGTGTTTTACACATCCCCTCTTTCTTCGTCCAGTGTCTGTGTGCTGTCCTGCTTATACAGAGAGCTCAAAGTGTCCAGACTAAAGTCATCCACAGCCAACACCACCAGGACAGATGCTGGGATGTGAACTTCTACACAAACCTCAAAAGTTTCTTCAAAAACTCCTTGTCTTCAAGACTTCCTCCTGAAAGGAAGCTTCTGATTTGTCTGTCTGTTGCTTTCCTGCTTTTCAGTTCAACCTGCAGGGTGCAAATCTGTTAATTCTCCTCCTCTTCCTCCTCCTGCCAGCCCACTCCGTTTGCCACAGCTCTGCTGGGTGATTCCTCTGTCACAAGTCAGTGACCTTATTCTCCACGGCAGCTGCGATCTGCTGCAGTCTGTAGCCCAGCTGCATCTTCTGGGCCGTAGTGTCCTCCTCCAGCGCTGTGATGATCTGATAAGAAGGAGATGGCACAGTTAATTATAATCGGCAGTCTTTAAAAACTGAAAAGGAGTAGTATGTATTCCCTTTTTAGATGGTTTACTCTGTCTCTTACCTAAACTGAGGCTCTAAGCACAGAGGCTACAGAGGCTTCTAACAGGCTATAGCTATTTGCTACACTCTAAATTGAGTATTCACGTTTATTAGTGTGCCTCCGATCTCAGTGTGAAGGATGCCCTTGGTGATGATACAATGCTGATCTCTTCTATGTGTATCACATGATACTAGTGACACTTTAACTGTCGCACAGCACAGCACTAGATTAGAAATTAGTTTTACAAGGAACGCACAACGCTCAACATTCGACATGTTTTGTGATTTTTCTCAACATACTTTAAATATTGGCCAAAATAATATATATTAAAAACTTTTCTAAAACAGTCTGTCAATTCCAAACCATTTCCAGGCCTTTTCACATGTTTCCAGAAATTTCATGACCTTAGGAACACTGTTCTGCTGCACTTTTTTAGGTTCAGAAATAAAAGCATACAGGAACAAAAACAATGCAATACAACTCCTCTGTGCACATGATCATATCTTTGCATTGTGCCATGATGATACACCTGGTCTTTTGAGTCAGACTGAGCGATACACGCACCTGGTCGTAGTATTTGTTGATGTACTTGTAAAGCTCGTGCAGTGCGACCAGGTAGTTGAGCTCTCCAGAGTAGTTCTGAAAAACAAAGCCTTTAGGTTAGATGTCTGTATACTGTGCTCCTCTGTAGTGTGGGCTCTGAGCTGTGGCTGCACTCACCCTGGACAATTCAGCCAGAGCTGAGTTCATCTCCTGGTCACTGGCTGATATGGTCTGCCTGATGTCAGCATAGTACCTGCAAACAAGGCAATTATGATCAACTTCAAAAGCATTACTGACATTACAAACTGCTTCATAAGATGATGAAAGCAGATTTCATAAAAGAGAGCGCTATAAATGTAAAGAAAATCCATCTTTAACCGAAGAAGACTTTTAATACAGTCATTTATTTATTATACTACAGAGCAATGGATATTATATAATTGCATTCCAAAATAGATTCATTTTATTTGGTGTGAAATATCATATGAGTCATATTATCCAAAGTGCTGTTTCATAAGTTTTTACTAGCTTAGTTACAGTGGAAATAGACTAGTGTTTTGGTTTAAAGGGATAATTGGGCTGTTTGACAGAAAGGTAGAGCAGTGAAAATACTCTCAATATAGTGTACACATACACTGATATTGATTTTTTTTTAAGTGGCTTAAATAAGTTTTGTAGCTGCCTCTGTCCACAGCAGCTTAGCTTCCGTTGTCGGCACACCTGCCGTCTTATTTAAACCAGGGCGTGCTAACAGACATCTTCTGTGGGTAATACACTGACTATGGATCAGTACACCATACAACCCCACTTCAAAAATCTGAACTATCCCTCTAACTTGTCATTAAGAAATAAATGCTGACTGCCTGATGTAAGGCGTATAAGGCTAATGACACAATTGGTTCCCTATAAGCCTTGTCCTCACTATGCAATGCTGTCTGCCACCAGCTACGATCTCCTGAAGGCTCCATTAACAGAGCATAGGAAGTGTGTCAACCATTGTGCTACCAAAACAAGAAGAGGATAGTGCTTTTGTTTTCCCCAGTAGCTATCAATAGCTATGTCCAATTACCAAAGAGTATCAGTGTAAGTTCTCTGTAGTTACTACGCTCAGAAGCAGAAATGGCGGACAGTGGAACAGCCAAAGTAACTGATGGAAACCGTGTTAGTTGCTCGGCTCTGAGGAAAACGGAAAGCAATCTGGTTATCTTTGCGAAATTGGCGCTGACAACAATACCACTTTAAAATGCTGGTGAAGGGGAAATTGAAGAGCTGTCGGTTGCCACTTTAAACCTGAACCCACCTTTCTACCATCTGTTTGTAGCGCGGGATGTCTCTTGCATATAGCAGCTTGTTGATGGGAGAGTCCTGTTCAAAAAGAAAAGAGGGAATGAGAAGTGAAGAGAGAAAGAGGGACAGGAGGCGTGTCTTAACATCAACTCTATTTGGGACTGCTGTAAAGTCACCACCTGCAACAGACACATCATTTACAGCCTCAATTTTTTCTCCATCTGAAAAAAGCCATCTGTTTCAGTTTGAATTATAACTGCAGAAAAACAGCAGAGTGAGAACCACAAACAAATATTTCAATATTGATCCTCTCTAAGTTCCAATGTGTATGAAGCTTCTACTTGCTCCCTCCCCCATCCAGCCTTACCCGTCCCAGCTTGTGCTCAGCGATGGTGCAGGAGTCCATGAAGGTCTGGGCGATGACAGAGAGCACGGCGTCCACGTGGTCCGACGCCTGGACGTCAAAGATAAACTGAGGGTTCTTCACAATGTTGATCCAGAAACGCAGAGGGAGACTGGAGACACAGTGGAAACATTGAAATGCTAACTTGTTTCAAGATCCAGTTTGCATCAATCTTTGAAGTGGTTTGAATTAATTATTCATTAGTTTAATACTTTATATTTATGGACAATGTCATCCTCATCTCTTCACGGGACCACCTGGCTCTTTGTGTTTGTGTGAGTCCATACTAGGCATGTGACAATATCAACATTTCATCTAACGATTACCCTGGCCAAAATGATTGCAACTCACATTATTATTTGATAATCATCAAAATATGCGTAAAACTCTTAAAATGGTACTAAAACATACTGGAATCACTTTTCCTTTATTTCTGTTTCATTTCATTGCATCACAGATAGGACACACACTTTTATTTAGAGAACAGCCTTTTTAGAGAAGAACAAACTATCTTAAAAAGCCAGACTTTTTAACTATTTGAAATGGCATTATATGTTTCATTATGAAATATGCTGATGCTTGAATAAAATCATTTGTGTTTTTTGAGGTTGGTGTGTATGCAGCCTGTTTTTGCAGTGTCTTTTCAGCCCACTTCAGACTGAAGATTTGTGACGAGATGAGTTGAAACAGGCAGCTATTTGCAATGTGCTGTTCTGTAATGTTCTAAAAACCTGCTGGTTCACACCAATGCAACTAGATGAGACAGTTTATCATTTCTATGCAACAACTCTCTGTACTTCCATTCTGATTTCCAGCTTTTCAGGCTTATTTGTGGCTGTATATAATTTGTAGCTTCTTAAAATATGAATAAGGATAGTGATAATGAGATACTGGCTACAGCTGTATTTGTAGCAAGCAAACACGCTGTCTGCAGTCATTTTGACTTGCCCAGCGGACTTGACTACAAGCTGATTGGCTGTTGAAAAAGGTGACGTGCTTTACCGTCCAAAACCATCTGCCGGCGATTTGACCAGCTGAGTTGCCGTTGACACCATCGCCCAGCCTGAGTCGAGCTCAGACCAATTAGTTCACAACGCCGCACCTTTCCTATACCAGGGTATATGCAGGAATCGTGAGGTTAATTTCAATACGTTTTTAAGACCTTCCAAAAAAACCTTAAGACCTCATCGCCACTTCAAGCTGTCGTTACCAACGCATCTTTAACTTACTAAACAGTTGTAGTTTGCAATTAAATCTATGGAGCACAAACATACAACAGAATTCAGATAAAATGAGAAGAAATAAAGCTTGAAAGAATAAATTAAACCAAAGGCAGGTTTATTAAAATACACCTTAGGTCATAACAAGTAACACAGCTCTACAGCTCAACATCAGCTATTCAAGGCCAACTTGCTGAAAACAACCTTATGGCTAGCCCCCTGCATGTGGGATTTAGGGCTGACCCAAAAAAATTCGAAGCTTCATTTGATGGCACGGGATTCGATTGTGAAAAAAAAAAGGCATATAAGATTTCATGTTCCAGTTCCAGTTTGTGTTTTTAATTGATTGATTGTTTTTGGTAGGTTATTAAAAAAGAAAACATCTCAGACAAGGAAATAGAAAGCCCGACGTGCAATGAATGGAGACCTATTATCCTGCTTGAACACAGACGACTAAATTCTTTCAACAATGTGACTCAAAATAATGATAAAATAGATTTTATTGATGTAAAATAATATGCTGATGGTAACATCTTCCACCGGTCCGCTGCACTCTGAATCTGGTGTCAGTGACACATGCTGCTCGGAGTCGTGCATCTGTCTGCTTGCGCTGCAGTGCATGCCGAGGGTTTTAATTTTTAGTGATAAATCAAAAGTTAAACACTACTTATCAGCAACCAGAAGTGCTTTTTCGTTTGTGAATATTTTTATCTTAATTCTAGGGTTGCAAGAAACTACCTTTTTGCCATAATTTGTAAGTTATTAACTTTTTTGGACTTTTTTTTTTCCGCTCAGCCCCCACCCCAAGTGGCAGTCCGAGTGTGCCTACCTACACATCGCTGTTTGTAATATTCGCGAGGAGGAAAATAAATTATATATTCATGGATACTTTTTGTCAAAGCTTGAATGCCAAGAAAATTGAATACTTCATAAAATCGCGATTAAGACTTTTTAATACTTTTTAATGGCCTTAATTTTCCGACATTTGATTTATCAACTTTTAATACTTTTTAAGACCCCGCGGACACACTGTATACTGTTCTGAAATGGTTTCATATCGTCATGATTCATTGGTCTGAACTGGGCTTTTCACTGATGGTTGCCCAGCAGGCTCTTTGCTGGACATGATAATTACAATTATACTGATATTGTGAGTGTGTTTTTTTAATATCACAATCCGCAATAAAATCGTGTATCGTCCCATCCCTTGTCTATGATTCACCTGTTGGTCTTCCAAATGTGTATTGTCTCTGGGTCAGAGATGCCATGTTGTCCTGCCTGGTCGTCCAGCAGGTCAAAGAAGTATTTAACAGCCAGCGGGACGGGACGACTGGTGCTGAGGATCACTGTGAACAGATCGTCTACAAACTTCTGCAGCGTTCCCTAAAGAACACAGAGGAGGAGGAGAAGGAGGAGGAGGAGGAGGAGGAGGAGGAGGAGGAGGAGGAGGAAGGGAGTCAGAACGATTCAGTGCAGAGGTTTGTTTGCTACTTTGCAACAGTGTACCAATTACAGGAAGTGTGTCTGTGTGTTCACTGTGGGAAACTTGTGTATCAAGTGGTTTGCTGTTTATGTATATACAGTATGCACTTGTATACATGTGACTGTTGTCTGATTCCCATGTAAATGACTATGTACCAAATTCATACAGCTGAATAGAAATGAACATCATTGGTGAAATGTTATTGAATATTGTAAAACAGTTTTGCACACGTTTGATATGGAAACATTATTTCACCCATTAAAAAGTAATGCAATTATTGTATAAATAATTACTTAGCAATGTTTATAAGATAAAGGCTACAATACATTTCCAGAAATGTACTACATCACAAGGTTCTATAATTATTAGAATAATAAAACATTTTACCAGCTCTCAGTATGAACTTGTAAGTAAAACTTACTTGTAAAACTTGATAGCTATATGGAAACCTAACCCTGTATCTGAGTGTGTGTGTGTGTGTGTGTGTGTACCTTCATGGACAGCAGGCGGGTCAGGTAGATCTCGGGGATGGCCTTGGCCCTCTCTCTCTCCCTGAGGCTGCCTCGGCGGTGTTTGGGCAGCTCAGGCTCCTCACTGGCTTTCACCAGATGCCACAGCCTCACTCCACCTTCATCTGCATCCTCCAGCATCGGAGTCTCTGCACAGGTCCAAGTTTCAAAAGTTTTATTTAGTGGAATTCAGTGAGCAGTGGTGCCCTGCTTCCCCATCAGACACCATGAAAGCTCACTATTTTCATGTAAATAGTCAACAATGAACTGCATTTAAATTAAGATTTTCCAGTCTTAACAAAGTGAAACCAAAGTGAAAACTCCAAGTGCTTTACAACATAAGCCAGCATTCACCCATTCACACACATCCATACACTGATATAACAATGTTATAACTGTGCATAAGGGAAAGCAAACAACTATTTCACATGCTGAGAATCACCCATATATTCCTGTAGTCCTGAATTGTGTTACACACCCAAGAGGCTTTATCAATTTGGAATTGAGTGATGAAGGTGCCCTTTAGACCAAACACACAAAGTGCAGTTCCTTTAAAGACTACTTGTGTCATGTAAAACTACAAGTGTTCTTAAGCTTTAAGAAGACAGGAAGAGTACTCATATTTAAGTTATTACACTATGCACTGAATTTATTACATTATTCAACATTATACAACAACAAAACTGTTATTACATTATGTGCTGATTATAACATCATGAGCTTTTACTACATTTTAATTATTACATTGTGAGTTGCTACAACCAGTGGCAGAGGCTACTATGCCAGGTGTCACCTACTCATCAGGAGGGATAAACATTCACACACACACTCACACACTGATGGCACAGCCATCAGCAACAACTCGAGGCCCAGTATCTTGCCCAGGGACACTTGGACATGTAGACTGCCGGGGGGGGTAGGATCAAACCAGTGGCCTTCTGATTAGTAGACACCCCACTATTTTTAATTATCAAAAACAATAATAGGAATTTCTAGGGATTCACTTTGAATATAAAAAAATGAAAAAATCTGAGTGAAAATTGGATTATGAAAATTCTGTTTTCAGCAGAATCACTTTGTAGTTTCACTGTTTATTGGTTGAGTGACTTGAGGGACTCTGAATGACCCTGTTTACTTTAATCCATGCAGCATTGTGTCCTTTAACACTACAACCTCTCAAAGCCTGGGACATAAAGTCCAGCTCTAACCTCTAGGGTCTTTGTGTAAATCATGATTAAAATCAGTAACACTGAGCAGAAGTTATACACACCAGCAATAGTCCAAATGACCTATTTTCAATCAATCAATCAATTTTATTTATAAAGCCCAATATCACAAATCACAATTTGCCTCACAGGGCTTTACAGCATACGACATCCCTCTGTCCTTATGACCCTCGCAGCGGATAAGGAAAAACTCCCCAAAAAAAACCCTTTCACTTCAAGATATGCTCAAACATTTCTGCTGCATAGATTTACTTCACACATTCGAGTGGTATGGTGACAGCAGAAATGTTACTGGGTGAAAGTTTAGTAGAAGCAAAAAGGACGTTAAGGTGACAGTTTGATCACCATGAGAAGAAACTTATTTTGGATTTATTATTACAGTGCTGTTCACATGTTAACTCACTCTCTCCTGCCACATAATCGTGGTTGTCATGGTGAATGTGTTTGGTGTGGCGAGGGACCAGCGCTACTGTTGCACCGTCTGGGACCTGATGAACAACACAGAGTATACAGTTATCATTATTATTATTTTTGACTGTGAGTGAGTAATAGTGTGTCAGTGAAGCATGGACTCTGACCTTGTAGTGCTGCAGTGTGTTGAGGCGTTTCCAGTTTCCCTGAACCACAGACGTCAAGTCTTCGTCTGACAGAATGAGATGACCAGCAACACCAGATCGCCACTCTGAACAATCAGGCAACAAGCAGACACTCAGCACAGTGTGTGGAAACCCTTCAAAGTGTGCGAACATGCGTGTTGGTGCCGTTACAACACAAAGTGAAAGACTTCCTAAATGTCATGTTTTTAAAATGGAGTGTGGGCATACACACTTTCACAGGGTCCTAAAAAAGTCTCAAAACGTCTTAAATTCAATTTCATAAACATTAGGCATTGAAAGTCAACAATAGTCTTAAATTTGAATGTGTGAGGTCTTAGTTGCCACAAACATTTTTTAAATAAGTGTGGTTATTGGATGTTTTATATACTTCAGGTATTACAAAAAAAAGAAAGAAATGAAAACAAATAAGGAACAATACAGAACATTCACGGTAAGGAATCATCCAAATATAAAATACTGATGGTCTAAAAAGAAAAAAAGAAACAGAAAAAACAGCAAATGGAAATGCACATAATTATGTTCTCATCAACAAATAGTAAGTAAGGCAAGAGGACTTCCTGTAGAAATGTCATAAAACGTCCCCATATGTTGTCAAAGGTAGAATATTAATCCCTAATCATTAAAGAAAGTTTTTCCAGGGCAGTAGAGTGAGACAGGTTGGTAAGCAGGTTGTAAACTTGGTCTGATAGCAGATTTCCAGAGTTTGGCTATGGTGTGTTTTGCTTGTGATTAGCAATAGAGTGCCATTTTTGTATCTACCTTACTTAGTTTACAATTTACGAAAAACAAAAAACAAAAATAAGGCTACGCAGTTTGGGGCACACAAATAACTTTATGTATGTGACATGTGAAAGGATATCCAAAACCTCTATCCAGAAAGCCCGTATATGCGGGCAGTCCCATAGGCAATGAAACAGTGTACCCTTTATTCCACATTTATTACACTAGTCAGGGGTACGAGCATTGAATTTATTTAACACGGTTAGAGTTGATATATTCTCATTATCCACTTATATCGTAGTAATTTAAAATGATATTTATTGAATGTGTTTGAGCTTCTAAGCTGATCGTCTGCCAGTCCTTGACCGAGATCTCACTGTTTCAGTCCTCACTCCATGCAAGTCTTTTAATTTCTAAAGGAGATCTGAGAGCCATCCATGATTGTTTCACGAAAGCGTGAAATTAGGCCCCTCTTGGAGTGGTGTTTTACTGCTATTTCTTCCACAGAGGTGAGAGTAGGTAAGGATAAGGATTTTTGGATTTTAAATATGTAGCTTCTAATCTGCAGATATTTAAAAAATGTTTTGGCTGGATGTCTTACTTCTGTCTAACATCTTTAAAGGACACAAGAATGCCATTATCAAACAGGTCTGCAATTTTCAATTTTACACAGGCCTTTCTCAGCCCAGATTTTGAAGCTCATATCTCTCTTACCAGGTGTGAAGTCAGTTACCCCAGTTTGGAGTAAACTGGGATAATGCTGGTGTTTTGCCTTTATGTTTATGTTCCATATACCATACTGCTATTGTATCTTTAACAAAGGGATTCTGTGTAAATTTTGCAACATACACTATTTCTGATTTCATTTATCCATCCTTTAATTGCTATTTGTCGAAAACAAGGCAGGTCTGATGTTCCAAATCTTTAAACCTGCCACGTAACCTAATACTATTGTTTTACTTTATATTTGCACTTTCCTGTTGGCAAAATGTAGATGAACCAAACTCGCTCTAATAACCATATTTCTACATAAATGAAACCTATTAAGTTCCTGCAGATCCTTAAAAAGTCTTAAAAGGTATTGAATGAATTAATCAAAAAATAAGGCCTTAGTCAGTACTAGAATGTCTGAAGTCAATCTTTCAAAAGCCTTAAAAATGCTAAGCCAAGGTAGGTAGGATTTTATGAATTATGAACATGCAGCAAGGGGCCGCAGGCTGGAATTGAAACCATGGCTGCTGAAGCAAGGACAATGCTTTTGTACATGGGATGCCTGCTCTAACCACTGAGCTACTGGGTGCCCTGGCTTTGTTTATTTTATGCAAAGATAATTTCAAGCTCGATACAATGGGAATCAAGGCTGCGCAATCCCACATGCAGATTGTGAAACCCACTGACAAACACCATGTACTTCCCAGTTCTGTTCTACCCTCAACTCCACTAGAGGTCATGTTTTATGTTACAATAAATATTTTGCCAAAACTGTCCCTAATCCTAATTGACTTGATTTGTGTTTTTTTTCCCCTTAAATTTCAGGTGTCATTTAAAGAGTCTTAGATCTAAGAAGTCTTTGCCTTGAGCTGTAGGAACCTCTGCAAGGGACTACATGTATACTACTTACCTTTAGACTTACCTACAATACTTGAATAAGAAAACAAAGACTTTCCAAAAATCAGTCTTAATTTGTTTAAAAATGTTCTTGAAAGGGTCTTAAAAAGCATTAAACTACAGTGTCTGATTCCTGTAGACAACCTGTTCCATGTTTATTCCAGCTGGTGTTTTGGTTACTTATGGATCTCGTCAGTATTAACAGCACATATTGTCATTTTAGCAGTGCTAACTTAGATGAAAGATCGACCAATTAAATTCTTGTATTTATTTTTGTCTTGCAGTAGAGGGCGCCACAGCTTAACAACAGAAACAGAAATTCACACCTTCATCATTTCTCTCACATTACTGTTGCTTACTGATATAAGGATGAAAAGCAAAAATATCAGAATGTATCTAAAGTGCCAGGTGTGTGATCTGGTGTGTATGGACTCTCACCGAGGTCCAGTGAGTCTGCGTGGGGTCGGTGGGAGAAGGAGGTGCCCTTGTAGACCTGGTCCAGCAGCTTCTCTTTCACCTGTGTGATGGTGTCACAGTCCAGCACTTTGGAGGGCAGCGGCTGGCTCTCATTCACTCCTCCACCCTGCACCAAAACATTCAGAGTCTGCAGAAGAGAAGAGAGAGAGCAAGAGGTGTGAGAGAAGGAAAGAGGAAATAGCCCAACTTCCTGAAGGTCATGGTGGATGTCTGGGATTCTTTAATCAGATGTAAATGATAATTTGGTTTAAAGTCAGAGTTCTCCTCACCAGAGTCTTATACTCTACATCCTCTCGCAGCAGGCGGTTGTCATTGAGGGTGTACTTGGCCTTGCCGGTCACAGCGTCCACAGGTCCTTTGTCTACCTGGTGCTTTATGGCCCTGAACAGCATGTAGAGAGACTCCCCTGCTGAGTCCTGCACACACACACAGGTCTTATGATGAACTTCCAATGTTTCTTTTGGACTGGTAAGTAACATCTAACATTGGCTATTACACAAAACATGTCTTAAGTGCAGAGTCCTGCATTGGGTGACCTGCAAAAGGGGAGATTTGCAGAGGGTAAAGAACATTGTAGGTGTTAAATAATAAATAAATAAAATAAAATAGTTATAACACTAATTTAACTCAGTGTTTTAATCCTCTGACAGCTGACTTTGTGTGTTGGCTCTGTCTCCTCTACCACCTGGAATATGAGAGCCCCTTCAATCAGATGAGTTACTAACAGGCAGGTTAACTGTGGAGATGTGCTGCTCAGTATTATGAGAATAAGTAAAAAATATCCATTTACACTGCATTTCCTGAATTACCTTAGTTTGAAAATGTATTATCTTAGATTCACATGTATGAAATGTATTAAAAAAATAATCACTTTAAATGTGCTGCCTGACCAAATTATAACAGTGCATGGTTATTTTAGGATTTGTGGTTTCGGGACGGGCCACTGGTCTTGTGTCAACAGGTCAGGTTGTAGAACGGAGCAGTATTGCATGTTACTGTTCCGGTTTGGAAGCGGCTTGGAAAATCAGACCTGTGCCAGCCTTTTGATGTATTTTATCATGTTGTCTGTTTGTAACTCTTAGCATAGCATATCTGCACTGCCTTCTGTAGCACTTTGAGATTTGTTTTTTATGAAAAGTGCGTTACAAATAAAATTTATTATTATTATTGTGCTGGACTCTGCTTTAGTGCAACTAAGGACAACACAAACTGTACTGAAAAACATTCCAAATGGCATAAATATATAGTTTTGATGTGGCTGTTTCCTTGGTACTATTACAATTACTATTAATATTACTGTTACTATTAATATTACTACTGAGCTCATTAAACTATAACATAAACTGTAGGCCGATGCCCCACGTGAAGATTATAAGGTAGCAGTATTATTTATGACCAACTCTCAGAGTTTCAGCAGTGCGTATCCCTGCCCTGCTGTTAGTTAGTTAGTCGTTGGCTCTTTTTTTTCTTTAAATAACTGTTGACTGTCAGTTTAGATTGTATGGACCCAGTGGTAGACCTGTGAAATGATGTCCCATATTTCTTTGGAGCACATTGCCAGGCATTACACATTACACATAGTTCAGAGATAGATTTCAGTCAGCACACCCCCAGTTTGGAGAAGCAGGCTAGAGTCCAACGTGGAAGCTAAGTAATGTACTGCTGTGATGGGGATCACAAACAAAACATATTTTAACCACCTAAAAAAAGTCCTACCTAAAACAATATCAGTTTATGTGTACACTATATTTAAAATATCTTAAATGCTTTACCTTAATGTCAGACAATAATTTCCAACAGGAAAATTAAGCTGTTATATGGCTCTCTTCAGTACCAGACTCCACTAAGGAAATCAGTGATTTAACATTGCTGAACACAGGAGCCACTGCCTCCATCATTTAGCTTTTTTTGTGTTTGTGACTTTGGAATTTAAATGATTAGTTCAGATTACTGATAACTGATCAAGGCAGCATAGACCAGCAGCTCCTGTGTTCAGCAAGCTAAAATTACTATTTTTGTCAGTGGAGTCTGGTGGCTTTGACAAGAGCATTGGTGGAAAAATGAGGCCGTTAATGGCTTCCTCACTGAAAAGAGCTGTCTGACAGACAGGTAAAGCAGTGAAAATACTAAATATAGAGTACACTTCAACTGATATTGATTGCTTTAGGTGGGACTTCTTTAGGTGGCTAAAGTATGTTTTGTTACAGACCCCTCCACAGCAGTACATTGCTGAGCTTCTGTGTCGGACTCCAGCCTGCTTCTCCTAACTGGGGGCGTGCCGACTGACATCTACTGTATGTAATATACTGTCTATGGATAAGTACCACATACAACCCCACTTCAAAAAATCCGAAATTTCGGTGCTCCTAACATGTTTGACTGAAATGACATTTGATTGCGTATTTATAGCAGAAATATAAAACCATGTATCATGTGTTGACTGACCCTGAGGAAAGCATAGAGGCAGATGGACATCCAGTTGGTCAGCAGCTTCTCCACCACTGTCTCTGTTCTGCAGAGGAAAAAACAAAACAAAACACTGAGTCTGAATCGCTGCTGAGCATCTTTACAACACAACATGACCACATCCACTCTCCTTCTTCTTACCGTCGCAACATCAGTTTGGGGTTCTTGGCCACATACTGCTCCACCAGGTCATTGAGGAGAGTTTTGAGGATGTCGGTGAAATACTCCAGTTTGCCATGCAGCGACACCGTCAGCAGGGAGGCCACGTACGCCCTGTCTCTGGGAGAGAAAGTCCGTTGGCTCTCCAGAGTGTGAATGAACTGAGAAGAAAAGAAGAGTAGCAAATTATTCCTTTGCTCAAAATGTGGGTATTGTCTCAAAGCCTCATTCTGCTCGTGACACAGATGCCGGTGATGACAACCTTGGTAAGGAAGAGTTTACTGTTGAGCAGGTTGGACAGCTGCACCAGTCCCTGCTCCACTGTCTGCCTTCGACACTCTTGAACATCCAGGTCTCGCCTCAGCGGAGACTCCCGGTGGCCGGGGAAGAAGATGCGCTCAGCGTACATCCGGTAGTCAAGGAAAGGAATGCCAGAGCCCACCAGGTCACTGGACATGTCCATCATCTCCGTCATCAGGTCTAAGTCGGGGTAGTGGGAGAAGGGTGACAGATCAGGAGGTTTTACTACAAGCTCTTTGTCTTCAGTTTCTACCATACTTTATATTCAAAGTGCGTGTCTAGAACTGTGTTGGGAGGTAGGAGCTGGTAAATATTGACACTGGACTTGTTGGCAGGCTAAAATTAAAATCCTCTGCAGCAGCCATGTGGGATGAGAAGGAACATTTCATCCAGGAGATGTGATGTAATGGGATAATCTCTAAGGCCAGAATGAAAACAAAGTGGATCTGTTGGCCTCCACAAACTAAAATAAACTTTCTTGTTCTTCTGCCTCTCCTCTCCAAACCTCCTTCCTCTCTTTCCTGTTCTCTCCTTTTTAATGTAATGTTACTCTTCTGGCGCACTCTTTACCCGTGAACTCTTTCTTGCAGCGGTCTCTCACGCTGGTTTCCAGGTTCTCCAGTTGGATCTGGACCTTCTTGTAGTCTCTCACAGCCTGCTTACTCTTCCTCCTGACAGACAGTAACAAAGATGGGAACAGAGGGTCAGGTGGGGAGAGAAGATAGAGGACAAATAATACCAGTTTCACACTGGATTAGTGGAAATCCATGAGATTGGGAAAAAAGCTGACCCAAGTAATTTGACCCAACAATCCCCCACCAGTAAGGATCAGGGTTAATCTTGGGTCATGCTGGGGCAAAATGGATACACTGCCTGATATGGTGACTATCCTGATCCTTCAGTTCTCACTGTGGCACTTCAAAAAAACATGTTATGACCTAACAATGTTCTTCCCTCCCTGTCTAATAGTGTTGGTTGTCTAAAGGTTCTACAGAGGTGTAACTGTTAAGGCTTTTACACACCTGGGTTGTGATGAATTAATGACATGAAAGTGAAAAATCCTTGCATGCCAGTATTTTGTATCAAAACTATTCTTATCATCAGTGATTCAAATTTGAGACAGTTGTAACATTTGTTCAATAACGGGTTTGAAGATTCGTGACAGCTCATCCTTCAGGAACAAATGACTGTTGAGGTCCTACTGGGGATGCTAGTGCTGGATCTGGGGAGGCAGAGGATCAACGACTGGGATCCTATTGACCCAGAGAAGTGTCTGACAGTCTGTCTGAAGGTGCTGAAGGCACTGTAAGCTATTTTATCAAGTTTCCTTTTAGCAAAATGCTCTGGGTGAATTTGAGTTCCCTCTGGTAAAGTCATGCAGTGTATATGTCTGGGGCTTTTATTGTGAAAGGTAATGGCAGCGGATCTGGTTTGTGCTGCCTTTGTCAAGGTTTAAAGTATAAGAGATAGAGGTTGCCTTCCTGGTTTGGACAAGGGAGCCTCTGTGTTGTTTTTATTCTGTACAACATGATTGGTTGTTGATCTTACCGGCAGTTTGGAAGCTCAGAAAAATCTACCTCATTCCAAAAAAACAAAACAAAACAAAATAAAAAAACATCACTTTTCCGCGGAATAATATTTGCGTATTTGCGTTCTCACACAATACAAAATGAAGACAGCTGTGCCTTCTCCCATCCCTGTTCTACATTATGAAAGTACATTTCCTATAATGCCTTCGGAAATGTAAAAAGGAAGTGTAATGTTGCCGTGGATTTACACTGTTACACTGTGGGCTACAACGTGAGCCCCGTTGTTTTAGGAGATTAATGCATTTTCATCATTATTTGAATTGACAGTTCTGCTGCCTAATTTATAGCATTATAGCAATTTAGTTGTTACCCAGAAATGTTCACTACCAAGCTCTAATTACTGTTGTTATCAATCTAGATAGTTTTGGTGTGACTTGCCAAGTGATGGAGGCTGGCTATAGAGAAGTCGGCCTTCTCTCCAATATAATGGAAACAGATGGCACTCGGCTCGTTGTGCTCAAAGCACTGAAAAAATACATTTGAAAAACTCAACAGCAACCGTATCACAGCTTCCTTCTGCGCAGTGATATCGTTAGTGGGTGCAGTTTGGCAGGAAGAAAATAGTTCCTAAATGAAACTGCTCACAGCAAGGTCTGTGGATAATGTTGAGTAACCGGGTCATGATTTCTGGAAAGAGACATTGCTGTTGAGTTTTCAAATGTATTTTTCAGTGCTTTGAGCACCACAAGCTGAGTGTCACGTGGTTCCATTATATTGGTGAGAAGGCAGACATCTCTATGGCTGATATCTCCATCACATGGCAACTCACACCAAAACTACCTAGACTGATAAACAGCATGACAGGTATGAAGAAGAATACTTTTTTTTTGATTACAGGGTGAACTGTCCCTTTAACTGACGTATAAACTGATCAAATTATGTGTAATTTTTCTTTTATTTAGTGCACTTTTGAGTAAACTTGCAAAGAAACACACAGTGCACCCACTGACCTGTAAATGAGCACAATGATGAGGACGATGAGGGCGACTATGGACGCCCCAACCCCTACTCCAATCTGGGCCTCCAGAGGGAAGGTGGACAGGCTGAGGTTGTCATACTGAACCTTACCAAGGGAGAAGTTCAGGTTGCCCATTTGGACCTGAAACAAACAAACAAACAAACACACACACACACACACACACACACACACACACAGAGCAGTGTCCTTGTCAGGTGCACAAACAGCCGGAAGACGTAATGATTCCTCTGTTGTTTGCAAATGAACGTGTGGACTCACTGTGAATTCAGGCAGATTGTCGGAGCCCTCGCGTTTCTTGCTGTTGGGTCCTGGTGCAGGCTGCTGAGGTGGCGGCTCGCAGTACAGATGGTTTTTGGTGAGGGTCTTAACAGCACACACACCCTCCCCAATCAACACTACCACCTCGTCCTTAGTGATGGCCAGGTCCAGGTCTTCCCCCTGAGAACACACAGAGATGGAACTTCTGGTTTATCTTTGCTCCTTTGTTTTCAGGCCATACAGAAAAATAAATTCAGTACAGTATATATGGTATATATTTTTGTGAAAACTCTTCAATCTTATTAGATTTTCAAGTAGAAAGAATGGTTTAAGTTGTTTTCTGACATCTTTGCCAGACATTACACAAAACCTGCCTTTTTATCTTTGTGGCCAAAAGTATAAAAGAAAGGGGTGGCGGCTTGTTCTGTAACAGACTGTGTTAAATGGGCATATAATATCATCTCTTATCCATCGCAGGCCCCTGAATCGTACTTAATCAAAATCATATCGTAGCAGACTTTGTATTATTGGCAAATATCGTATTGTTGTCTAAAGAATCTTTATAACATTGTATCATGATGAAAATGGTGATTTATACCCCTACTGAGTAGTACTGACTTTTCATATTTGAAGGGCTTTGGTTGCCTGCATGTAAGCAATCTGTGTGGAGAGGCGGAACGCACTGGCCAAAATGCAAACCTGAAACCCATCAACTATCATCTGATGACAATTTGGCTTTTTATTAGCTTTTTTTTTCTAATTTATTTGCATTAATAAGCAGATATCTGTTTGGAGAGATTTGCTGAAATGTTGACTGGATGTGTCTCAAAGTACTAATTGAACTGTGAAGAATGAGTGGTGCACAGAGGAGGAAGTTTTAGCCCAAATATCCACAGGCTACACTGGATCTCCTGCTGTTGCCCCCAGAAGCTTTATCTAAGTCAAACAAAAGCTCAAAGGTTGACAGAGGATCAATGTTGAAATGGACAATTCACCCCTAAATCAAACATATTGTTCCTCATACCTGTAGTGCTATTTGTCAGTTAAGATAGTTTTGGTGTGAGTTACCAGGTGTTGGAGCTGTAGAGGTGTCTGCTTTTGCTCCAATATACTAGATGGCGCACAGCTTGTGGTGCTCACTGTACCAAAAACATACAATTCAAAAACTCTTCAGCAATGTCTCATCTACTGCCAGCTCACTAAGCACCACTGAGCTAGCTAATGTTACATCTCAGCTGTGGAGAATGGTATTATTGTTTACAACTTGTGCTGTCACAAGCATGAGTCTCTCATCCACGAGAAGATGCACACTTCCTTCTGCACAGTGATAAAGTCAGAGGGTGTAACTACAGACGATATCTCCAACACTCAGCAACTCACCACAAAACAATCTAGACTGATAAACACAACTGCATGGGGAGATGAAAATTATGTATGTTTAATTGTGGAGTGAACTGTCCCTTTAGATGATCTTTCACATTGATGTAAAATAGTGGCATAAGTGAATGTAGACATGACGAGTCCAGGGCTGGATACCTCTTACTCTAGAATCCCCGTCCGTCTTAACTGGACATTCATGATAACATGTTTACAGTCACCATGTTATTGTCCAGTAGTTGTTACCATGTTAACATTTATGTTAATGTGAAAATTCTACTGTTTACATATTGGCAAGCTGGTGGATATGTAACGGACTGTGACAGGAAATTTATCATTTTAGCTGAGCTGAGGCCAGGTACACCTGAGACTGACAAAGCACAGTCTGGACGGGTGGAAACAACTCCCTGACACTGCTGGTGCATTGCAGCATATGTTGCCATGTTACTGCTGCCTGTTGATCAGTGGAATAATGTGAAACCACTGTGTGTATCACATCATCCACATACTTGATGAAGCCTTTATAAATCAATCAATCAATAAATATAACAAAGCACACTTGTACATTAGACAAACTGGCAATGCCTTCATTGCTTCACTCAGTAAAAGGACTACTTCCAGAGCAGCCTGCCTATCACTGTCTGTCCTCTGACCTCCAGCTGGATGAAGCTGCCAGGGTTGTAGCGGTAAGCCTTCAGAGGGTCCTGCTGGTTCAGGGGCTGCAGGGTGGGGTTGGGCGCGTAGCTGAAGCTCTGAGGGCTCAGACTGCTGAAGTCAAAGCGCAGGTTGTCCAGTAAAAACTCTGCAGTGACCTTTGACACCAAGGCAGAAGAGTCCACCATAGGAGAGCGGCAGAGGATCAGGGAGGAGGAGTTCACCTCACAACGCTCAGTGAACTGATGAGATAGGGAGGGGGCAGAGAAGACATTTAGTAGAGGAAGAAACTTGCTTTCAGTTTAAAAAATAAAACAGCACACACACACAGACCTGTTTGACAGAGCAGAGTGGGTCTCCAGGACAGACGGGTTCAAGAACCATCCTCACTGGCCTTCCCAAAGTCTTCTGCCTGTCCTCCCCCTGCTCTCCACTCCTCCTCCTCCTCCGCTTCTTCCTTTTATTCTGGCTGACTGATGCCAAGGGAGAGACGGTCACCACCATCCGGGGCTCCTGCACCACGTCCAGGTTGTGTCCCGACACACGGATGAGCCGACCTCCACTAAACACACAGAGAACTCTTACATTCTGCACATACGGCACTTTCTGCACCTAACAACTTTCTAAGCGGGAACAAGAGGTGAATGCTAGGAGACTGAAGGTCAGGTTGCCAGACTCACTTCAGGAAGCTCTTTGCGGGTTTGGCTTCGGTGATGTTTGGGTTGTGGGTGTAGCGGTAGGCTGAAGTGTGGAGGTGGCGTTGGCTGCTGCCGTAATGCAGTGTGACTCGCTGATCTCCTGTCTTATTACTGCTGCCTGTCACACATTGAACACTGGAGCTCTGCACCTCTGACACACTGAGGACAGACAGAGTTATACTCTCAGTGAAATGGTCTTTTCTCTTCCCCCCTCTGACACAAGGAGGTCAAAGGTCATACTGGCAGACGGATTGTTAGTGAAGAAGTCTTTATGGTGACAGAAGAAATATCAGTAATAGCAGCTTCTACATTAAAGCTTACTTTGAACCAACAACAGAACCATCAGTAATCATTTGTGCAGGTGTGTATGTGTGTGCAAGAGAGAGGGTCTTACATTCTACAGGGCACCCCTCCCACAGTGATGGTGAGGTCAGAGGGACGTCCTGTCAGCAGGTTTCGGCCAGTAATTGTCAGGGATGTTCCTCCGGCTTTGGGCCCCCTTTCAGGAGACACCCCCATCACAAAAGGGTCCTGAGAGGGAGGAGAGGATGGGAGAAGAAAGCTGTTGACTGCATCAGTCTAAATAAATCAATTCAAATCAACAGCTTTATTTAAAAATGAAAAGAACTGTCTGATTTACAACACTGTATGTCTCTGATATGCTTTAACGGAACAGTGTGTAAGATTTAGGGGGATTTAGTGGCATCCAGTGGTGGGGACTGCTGATTGCAACCAGGTGAAACTTCTCCTGGTTAGGATTCCATCAGTGTTTTTGTTCAGGAGGTTTTTAGTGGGAGCCGAATTATCCACAGAGGTCTCTTCCTCTACAAAACAAACGAACCAGGTGATTTAAACCAGTAAAAACACAGAAAAAAAGCAGTTTCACATTATGAATCAGTTTTTTTCTGACACTGCTCACTGCAGAACAACAACTAACTACAGTGGCCGATGCAAAAACATGCATCAATCAATCAATACATCAATCAATTTTATTTATAAAGCCCAATATCACAAATCACAATTTGCCTCAGAGGGCTTTACAGCATACGACATCCCTCTGTCCTTAGGACCCCCGCAGTGGATAAGGAAAAACTCCCCAAAAAAACCCTTTAAAGGGGGAAAAAAAACGGTAGAAACTTCAGGAAGAGCAACTGAGGAGGGATCCCTCTTCCAGGACGGACAGACGTGCAATAGATGACAAGCATGTCTCTAACTAGAGCCAGTGATTGGTTTGTCCACTTTGGGCTATAGTAGAAACATGGTGGTACAACACGGCGATCTCCATAAATGAAGTCTTGCTCCCTATGTAGATATAAACTGCTCATTCTAAGGTAACAAAAGCACAACAATAATAATTATCATTATTCAATTTTTGCCAATATATCCCCATAAATCCGACATATTAGAGCTATCACTCATTGCTTCTGCAACAACGCGACATGTTATCAAAGCTCATCTAATCGACTATAATTCAATCTGATCTCATGTACCTGGTAGCTGAATGTCTGGCTGGACACACCAAACTCTCCTCCGCTCACTTTCACAGACATGTAGCCCACCTTCTCTCCTCCACTGGCTTTGGTCTTGCACACAATCCTGGAACACAGAATTTATTTTTGGGACAGTTGCTCACAATAAAGTGGGGTCATGCATGTGACCTGGCAATGGTTCAGCTGTAACAAGTATGCTTTTGAGTATGTTTACTAGTGTTTAATTTTGAGATATCTGCTCGATTTACAAAGGATTTCATCACATTCCTTTTAAGTCACACTTAACCCCCCAAAGTGACCATTTCCACCATTTGATCAGTTACTCACCCATGTTAATTTGTATTCATGATGGAAACTTTGATTTTCTCACATGCCTCCATGGTGAATGGAGAATCCAAAAACTGAGAAAATTCCTAATTAATTGAAGTAAACAGGGACCGCAGCAAAACAATATCAAAACATCTGTTTACAAACTCTCACACAACTCATGCAGTATATCCAAGTCTCATTTATCCAGTAGTATGCTCTGTACTTCCCAAACACATACATTTTTGTTGAAACCTTACTATGTAAGCAGAGTTCAGATGAATGCGCTTATCCAGGCGTGCTACTCATCTATGCATGAGTGTTTAGGTGGAAGTGTTTGGAAAGTACTGAGCACAAGACTGTTTAAATGAGACTTGGATTATTAATTTATAATTAGATTATATTAGTTTTACTGCTGATAAAAGCAGCCCCTATGTACTTAAATTTATCAGCTTTTTTTTTTGTTTTTTGATTCTTTGTTCACTGTGGAGGCATGCAAGAAAAACAAAGTGATCATCATGAATTCAACCTAACATAAGTGAGTAACTGATATACAGATTATCATTTTATTGTCAAAGTATTCTTTTACAAACATGAAAATTAAGGTACCCCCCACCCCCAGCAGCAGTTCTGTACCTGGAGGAAACCTCGTAGAGGCTTGGGATGACAGTGCAAGGAATCCCAGCTACTGACACAGAGTGAAGGATGTCTTCAGCCTTCTGGCCCAGGTTAGAACCCGAGACAGTCACCAAGGTGCCGCCTTCCAACAGGCCAGAGAGTGGCTCAATCTGAGGGGAGTGAGGAAATGCTTTATTTAATAAGAAACTTTCTGGACACACTGGGTATCTCTTTCTAATGATTCATCTGTAACTGCTGATTTATTTAAGCACCGACACTGATGGTGAAGAAAGAGATCATAAATAAGAAGATTAATGGTGACTAATGCATCATAAATCTTCAATTATGTGTTTCCAGCCCACCCAAAATACAGAAAAGTAAGTGAAGAGGTTAAAATTCAATACTCACAGAGTGGATGACAGGGGCGGGGCATGTCTGTTGTATGGGCTCACTACAAGAGTCGGAATACAAGCAACTGGCCTGAGCACCACCGCACCACACACAACCATATTTTTGATCAGCTGTGTGGCAGCGGCTGCAGTCAGAGCGGCCCACAGAGCAGTTATACAGAGTCACTGAGGGCAGACAGACAAACAAGTGCATCAGACAATGTTTACGTGACATTAAGTGTTTTCTTTGAAGAAAAAATTCTCTGAGGAAAACATACATATGTTAAGTGTAAACAAGCAGAACTTGACCTCACCGTATAGATCAGGAGAGCTGTCCACATGGAAGGTGTCCCTCCTCTTCACATACACCATGGCATTGTATTCATCCACTGGTGCAGAATATGTGTACTGGAGAAACAAAGGTTTCATTAAAATTATTAAAAAAAAAAAAAAATTTGAATTACTGCCTCGTGGTTTTATGCTTCCACACACCAGTCAAGTTGCAGTTACAGTTTACATCCATGTCTGGAACATAATGATGTCACAGTGAAGGTGACCTTTTGGATAAAAATTAGTGCATGAATGTTGGAGTTATGCCCAAAAACATGTTTTGTGAGGGCACACTGATCTTTGACCTTTAACGACCAAATTCTAATCAGTTCATTTGTGCCATATTTGGGGAAATTCCCGCAAAGCCATCTTGAGATTTTGCGCTCTTGAGAATGTGACAGATTCAAGGTCACAGAGACCTTTGACCTCCAAGTTCTGATAAGTTAATCACTGCGTCCAAATGGACGTTCGTGCCAAATTTGAGGAAGTTGCCTAAAGGCGTTCTTGAGATGTTGCCTTCACGAGAATGAGACAGACAGACCTGAAAACATACTGCCCCCGGCCACAGCTGTCGCTGGTGCAGAGGCATAAAAAAAAAGAAAAAATGGCCAGCTACTATTTGTGACACTATAACAATATCAGATATGAAAGCAGACGTTTAATCCTACCTCAAAAAACATAAGTTTATCATTATTAAATACATGCACTGGATTTAAGTCCTACACAGTGCCCCTGTGTTATAAAGAGTGACTGCACATTATCAGACCTGGTGGAGTTGACAGGTGATGTCAAAGTTTGATGGACTCATGTCATCAGTCTCCACGTAGGCATCCACCACCACCGTCTGTCCCTCGATGACCAACACACATTCATAGTCCAGCTCCGTATCCTGAACACATAAAGACTCGTGTTTGATAAAGCCAAGGCCAATAGAATCATCCTTGACCTGTGTAAGGGCTGAGTGTGTGTGTGTGTGTGTGTGTGTGTGTGTGTGTGTGTGCGTGCTCGCGTGTGCATGCGTGCGTTTGTTTGTGTGGTGTACCTGATAAAGGTGCAGGTTGCGGGCCAGTAAAGTGATCTTCCTCTCCACTCTGACAGGGAGAAGGGATGAACCCTGGACCTTCTCCACACAGGGACAGGCTGAGGAACCCCAGCTGACATAGGAACCCTCATCCCCCTGTGACCCAAAACACACACATTCAAGGTATTAACACAAAAGTCCTGCCTTCCTCACTCAATCATTATGTTTTTACACACACACACACACACACACACACACACACACACACACACACACGTTTGCCTGATTTCAGGCAGAACTATCAACTTGTTACACTCCTGTTCCATCTTCAGAATCAGTCAACTCAAACTCAGTGGTGTGGGCAGATTCAAAGGTCTGAACCCAGGCAACATAGATGCTTTAATGCCACAAAACTGTAGACAGTTGTCTTAAAGGGGAACTCAACTGGTTTGACACATCAAAGTTTGTTTACAGGAGTTGGCGAGTACGACTGCATATGTAAAGAAGTTGTTAAGTTTAAAGCCTTTAGTGTCTCCAGAGGGAGCTGTGTGAAGTCTGTTAAATGGCCTCAAGTGATGTCACTTGAGTCAGCATCAGTCAGGTCTGAAAGCTACAAGTTTGAAAAGTAAGAACAATCCAGAGGTGTGGAGTTAAGGCCCTGACACACCAAGTCAATGGTCGGCCGCTGACCAAAGTCGGGCTGTCGGTGAACGTCTGTCGCCCTAGTTTTTGCGGTGTGTCCCACACCGTCGGCACTTCAGTGTCGGCGGCTTTTTTGGCCGATTGAGCATGTTGAATCAGTGGCGGAGCTTGTTTGTGAGAGAGATCACTCTGATTTCCTCGCCCGGGTAGCGAGTGAATCTGTGCACAGTGCTGCAGTGCACAGCTGCACAAACCCCTCGGCTGACAGGATGTCCCACTGTCTCACTCCGCTCTCTCTCACGCAGGCGCAGAACGTACGTGCTGCTTGGCCGTCGGATGTAGTCTTTGTAGTGTGTTCATATGCAACTGACACAGGGCGACGTGACGCGACGTAGACGACGCAACAGTTGGCTTTCGTTGCCACTAGTTCTTTGATGTTGGTTTGGTGTGTCCACACCTTTAGAAAGAAGTGAGCTGAGCAGACCTCCGTAGCTGTTCATCTCTGCTGCAGGCTACAGGCTCTAGGCTACTTTAGCCGTTGCTAACATAACACATCCCAATCTCTGACCGAACTGTCAGTGGTCAAGTTGAATTGTGGGTAAGGTGGGTGCCTGGTTTTTGGTATCGACTGTATAAAACTAATGGAGGTAGCCACCAAGACGTCACCATTTGGCTTGTGGACTTCATCTTGGATTTTTGGAGCAAAGGTGACCATATTTTAAACTATGTAATCAGGTGAATTGTATAAAAATTCACCACTAATAATGTTGTCATGGGGAAATTAGCTACAGAGGCCAAAACTGTTTGTTGCCAGTCTATGCCAGGCTCGCTCAGGTTTGCTCCAGAGCATCACATAAGCAGAGCCACACCATTAAGCTAAGATGCATGTTGCTGCTGCTGGCTTGACTAACATACTGTAAAAGGTGTAACTTCAGTATCAGCAGTTTGTCAGTACTGCCATTACTGGCCAATTATGCAGCTGTTACAAAAACAGAACAATACTTCTGAATATGAGATTATTACTGAGTGGCGTAAAGTATAAAACAAAGGTAATATCTTAATCTATCTCAAGTTTTCTTCAGATAACTAGGTAAGTTGACTCTAACTAGTTATCTCAAGCAACTGCATTAATTCAACTGATTCTCTTCATGTAGAAACAAGACAAGTTTGTGGTTATACTTGGCACAATCATATCCTACAGAAATGTATAGAAAATAATCACATGATAAATCATAATAATGGTTAGAAAAATCATAGTTACAAATTTTCTTAAAAGTCCCTCACCACTGGAAAATAGGGCTGGGCGATATGACCAAAATCTCATATCACGATATAGGTCATTTCATATCCCGACAACGATACATATCACGATATAGCACATTTTAATCCAATGAATAAGTAGTGCAGTGTGACCAAATGTCAGTGTGTGCAGCGCAGCAGAGACAGACAGCGGAGTTATATAAACTCGTTATGTTAGTGTAAAGGCCATAAAAGCTTCACGAATTAAAAAGCCGAGAAGAGTAATTTATCAATGTGATCCGTGCAAAAGATGGACAGACTCCAAATGACGAAAAATATTGCCATAAAAAGTGTAATTTGCGTCACAACGTTATAAACGATAGAGCTAAATATGAGACGATAGACATTTTTCTTTTGTCACATGATATATATCGTCATATCGCACAGCCCTACTGGAAAATGGGTTTTTCTTCTGTTTCTGTCCCCTACAGTGTCTGACCTTGACTTGTATCTGTGTCAGGTTTGTCACTAGAGAGGTGTTTTCACATCCCTCTACTAAAGTGGGCAATGTCTGAGCACTTCCCTAAAATATGTTTCTAGCGGAGAAACAACAATAGCCATTGGGTTTTCATTGGAGTCCCATCTTTTTCCCAATCAACGGAGCCAGTTGGCAAATTAAGCTTTTACCAAACCCCGTGGGAAGGACGGCAAACACATCTTTTTTTTTCAATAAAAGCTTTCAGTGCAGCCCTTTGCCCCTCTTTTAAAGAAAATGTACATTCCAGTTTGTTTAACACATTTACCATAGCAGTTTTAAAATCAGTAGCCATGTTCATTGTTTACGAAACGTTATACACAATATTTCACACAGAATCTGAATCTGCACACTGCCTTTGAATCGTCCCCCTCTTGAAGTCGAATCTTTTAATCCTCTCTCTTTCTACAAATCTTTATTGTATTCTTTCCATATTTCGCCCACTTGTTAGCAAAATAGTTAAAGAACCTCCATTAATCGCATGATTTAAATGTGAAAAGTCTCACTGACTGACCGTCACCTGTGTGTATGCAAAGAAGGAGAGGGGCGGAGGGAGCAGAGCTGTGGAAACATCCTGCAGTCCGACATACTATCATGCGTTTAAATAACTTATTAGACGGATATATAGAGAAAAAGGCGACGTTTAGAGAGCAAGCCCAAATAAGCAACTCCACCTTAGAAACAAGCCCAAAAAAACGCAACCCGCGACTACTAATATTTGTAAGCGACTTCACAAAAAAACAAGCCCACACTGCAACCCTGCTTGAGTGCTTATGAATACCCGCCCTACTCTGCCTCTGATTGGTTTATGATGAAATTTTACTCTCCCTAAGCCAATCATCTTCACTTATGCTGTTGTTTCTCCCTCCCTTCCCCCTCACATGCCTTCACCAAAGGAAAAAAAACTGACCCCTTTTCAGAGGTGTATTTTTTACTAATCTTGTTAAACAACATATTAATATTAATTTAAGTATTACTTTAAAATGTGTCTGCTGGGGGACTTTAAGTTGTTAAGCTCCACTGTATGTACAGACAAGGATATGACCTAATGTGGGAAATACTGTGTCAGTGTAACAATCATCTTGCTTTCATTAACTGCATGCACGCATGCACACACACACACACACACACACACACATAAACAGCATCGTCAAAGAAAACTTTCAAAGGGTTTTTAAAAGTAATAGTAAGCTGTAAATGTAAACAATCAGTAAAAAGGAAAATTATTGACTCAAAAACAACCGCTGCAGCCCACACTGGAGCAGCTGTTTTTCTTGGGTTCAGTCTATGAAGCAAAAGCAAAACAACAAAAACAACACAGGTGTCAGACAGTGAAGGAAGAGCAGGGAAACAAGGGCAGACAGGGAGGCTGGTTTGAGCTTTGTTCCTATAGCAGGAGTAGAGAGTCTAGTTGGGAGCCTTAAGCGCTGGGAGGCTGCTGAAGCTTTGAGAAGAAGAAGAAGAAGAAGAAGAAGATCAAGAAGAAGGAGGAGGAGGAGGAGGAGGAGGAGGAGGAGGAGGAGGAGGAGGAGGGGGGAGGCGGCTGAACTCACCGGGAGAAAGGCATCAGCTGGATCATACTGGTAGTCCAGCTCTGAGTCCGTATCAAGCAGGTGGGGGTAGGATGGGGGGGCATGGTCAACCTCACCATCACCTGATAACACTGTGGCAGCGGAAAATGTGGCTGTGTCATTTTCTGACTGGACGGCAGTCTCAGCGTGGACGACTACTTCTTCTTTAGGCCAGAGAAGCACCTCAGGGTTGGTGCCTGGGCTTAATGCTTCAGTTTGGGGTTCCTGTGTGGATCTCAGGGTGGGAGTCTGGGTCAGGTCCAGGTCAAGGGAGGGCTCCCAGTCACCAGGATCACCTACAGAGAAGGGCGTGGGCAGGGGGAAGCCAGATGAGGCTGGGGTGGGAGGCTCTGCCAGGCTTAAGGCTCCCTCAGCTTCCTGGGTGTGGCTGGGGGGCGATTCTGTGACCACCTCCAAGGGGAAGGAATCCGGTTCATGTAGCGGGATGATCAAAGGCACCACAGAGTCCAGACCATCAGCCACGGTGACAGGCACCAACACTGTGGATACCATGTTGACAGTGGGCGTAACTGCTGCACCTTCTGTGTCACTTTCGGTGACAACAAAAAGCTCTCCTGCTTTAGCTTCTTTCTCCGTCCCGGTGTTGACCTCTGGGAGTAAAGGGGGAGTGGGTGCTGGCGTGGTGGATGGCAGTGTGCTGGCAGGCTGAGGGGGCAGGGTGGTCGGTGGGGTGGTTGGCTCAAGGCTGGTAGTGGTCGTGGGTGGAGTAGTGGGTGCAGGAGGGGTGGTTGGCTCCTGAGTGGTTGCTACAGTGACAGAGGCTGCAGTTGTTGTAGCAATAGTTGTTGTTGGAGCTGTTGTGGTGGCGGCCATGGTGCTGGTTGTCATGGCAGCCTTTGTGGGCGGGGCTGTTGTCATGACTTTCATAGGTTTGGTTGTGGGAGGAGCTGAGGTGGGGAGTTTAAACTGAGGGCGGGAGGAGGAGGGGAGGACATGAGGACAGGATGAGACACAAATCAAAAAACTAATGGACAAAGGAAAAAGGACTAACTGAACTTAAATGTGATGTCAAACACAACCTGCTAGTATTGTGTTATTGTTGCTTATGACACATGCACAGCAATGATTTTTGTTACAAATAAAGTTGGCTTGAATTGGCATATGAGGCACAACAAAACATGTGGGCACTGATACATGTATGTAAAATGCATTCTGTCTAAACAGGAAAACTTTAACCATTAATTTACTTACCAGGTTCTTATAGATCAAAAACACTCCTGTAAGGTACTCAGTGCTAGTCCGCCAACACACTGTGTGCTTTTAGTTTAAAACAATGTGTTAACCGAACCAGTAACTGAAGCATTTTTTTGTCTGGTACCTGTCTTTTCATCTTGGAACTTAAACTAGAATTACTGCTTCACAGTGGTATGCCTCCATGAACCAATCAAGTTTCTCTTACAGTTTACATCCACGTCTGTGAAAATGTGGATGCTTCACACATCTCTCCCTCGATAACACAGAGGATCTATACAATCAGCACAGATTCAAGATGAGTGTCACCGATTCAATATCTGACCAAATGTCTCCCCTTCTCTTCCTGAGATATGACACTGAGTAATGGCCAGAAAAGTGTTTTATGCAGAACATTGTGATGGCACACTGAGGTTGACCTTTGACCTTTTGGATATAAACTTGTCCCCACAGATACTGTGTATAACATGGTGCACCTGCTGTGATTGTGTGAAACTCAAGGATTCAAGACATCTTTGTTTTTGACATCTGAGAGAGTGCTGTGCAATCAGAAATCTTCTGTTTGAGTAACTTACATGTTGGTTGTAGATGATCACCCCCTCCTCACAGGTGGGCTTGTGGGTACACAAGTGCTGGTGAACACACCAGTTACAGCCCCATCGGCTCAAAACACAACCACGGCAACTGCACACAGAAATAACAGGATGTACAGATCAGAGACATGAAGTAACACCATCAGTGTAAGGACGCTGCAGTGAGGCGACAAAGAGTAAAGGAAGAAAACAATGAAGCCATGAAGACAAGAGTGGAGAGAGGTATAATAGAAGTAGTGTGGGCTTTTTATCTTAAAATAGAAGGGAAAGGAGAATAGAACGATACAGCTATTATAGCTTGTGCCACACAGAATAATCCAATTGTTTCCAATCCGGCCTCAGTGGTAAGAAAGGTCAGTATCTAATTGAATTGAGACTCAGTTTCTTATCAGAGTGGTGGGAAGAGGAGAGGAGGGCTGCCACGGACAGAGAGGGAGAGAGACAGAGAGGGGGAGAGAGAGAGAGAGAGAGAGAGAGAGAGAGAGAGAGGGGCTGATAGAGTGAACATGTGTGAAAACACAGAGGAGATCAGTAAGGACACTAAACAATAATTTAACACAGTGATATTGAGAGGGCACAACACTCATCTATTATGATTAGGGCTCATCATTAATCATTTTCTTTCATTTATCAAAACAGAGCAGCTTTATCTAAATTTCTCTTCACTTTCTGTGAATGGAAGGATATTCTGCAAAGGAGCCAGTTCACGGTAAACTGTATTGTGGTCACAGTACTTCTATTATTATGTGTCTGTCAGGCATGATAGAGCCCAAATGCTACATACATCTTTTTCAATTTCACATAAGAAATCCATCTGGATTATTATTTGCCTCTGCCTACTGAGAGTTGCTCCTTAGGGCTTGTGCCTACAGCATTTTTTTCTTTTGCTTTTTGTGTCAGCAACTTTTTGCAATTGTTCTCAATGAGGAGAGAGCTATGTAGCTGCATGCAGCCACCTAGAGATAATAGTTTCGCGCCTAGCCTTTGTTTTCAAGTGCTCTGACTTTTTTTGTGTAGCCCATCTGAGTGCTTCTGGTTGAAAATCTCTGAACATTTCAGAAAAGCACTGGTGACAGCATGGCCGCTCCTTTAGCTACTGTCTATCTGCCTTTGCTGATTCAAGTTTATTTTGGACAGATTTGCAAGATTAGAAACAGGAAAATGGGCACTTATATTCAGATTAATATTATATTATATTTGATGTGATGTTATATGTGTTTGTGTTCTAAGGAATAACAATTCTACCTATATTATTTAGCATCTGATCATTCTCGGTAAATTCCATATCCATAAATGGAAATGGTCCGTCTCCACACCCTTCTTTAACCGATTTATTGTTGAACTCAAGCACTATGGCACCTTACTAGAAGATGTGAAGAACAAAAAGGCTACAGGTAAAGTTATTGTCAAGATATTGTTGTCATAGAAATAAAACCACAGTGTAGCACATCATTAAAAAGAGCACTAGGAACACTGTTATTACTGGATTTTAGCTACATTACAATGATTAGAAAAGTCATCTAAGACAAATATGCTATAGCCTCATGCAAGAACTACTGGAGAAAACTGTCACATTCTCAGAATTTTGAAATCAACTTGCTGCCAAAGTATATAAGTAACTAAAATAAAGGGGAGATTCAGCATTTAGTTGCATCTTTTTTTTTCAATAGCATAGATAAGCAAATGTACAAGATATAATAACCGTCAACTTCTATATACCAGTATACCTCGAAACCGGTCTATTGCTGCAACCCTATTCCCTACCCAGTTATGATTTTTTGTAAGAGATTATAAATGTTATTGTCATTTCAACTCTTACTTTAGGATTTCCTGCCATTTCCTCTATAAAGTAAACCAGCCTGTCTGTGTCTGTCTTTGTGTAGTACACACGGGTGCAAAGACAGACATAGGCAGCAGAGTGAAGTCTTGGAGAGTAGAGCAGACTTAGTAAAATTGCTCACTCGCTTTTTTAAGCACTGGCCCAATTGGGCAACTGATTGATTGTATTTACTGGCCTGACATAACCATTGGGGATTCTTATTATTGGACCCTGCCTAACGATGAGAGCTCTGTCTGACTGGCCACAGAGTAAACAGCATGAAGCACATTAGACAAACAGTGCCTTCTGATAGAATGCAATTTAACATGTTGTTACTATATTTAAAGTGCAATTTCACAGTCTTTTACAATGGTTATCACCCAAGTTGACGTCACAATAACAATAAAAAACAATTTATTGTGCAGCCCTATACAAAATGGATGTCAACAGCCTCAGACAGAGAATAAGACTTGATAATAAGGTCTGCAATGAGCAGAGCAAATCGGGAGGAGACAAGAGAGCAGAGCTGATAAATCATGGTAACTCACGGCATGCTGCCAGACAGCTGCTTAACCGCCGTGCAGTCATAGAAGGTGAAATCCCTCGCTGTGACGGTGACGTCGCCGAAGCGAAGAGACAAGGTGACTGTGACAAAGTCTGAGGAGGACAAAACACAGAGAGGAAAGACAGCATGAGGAAGAGCTGAAAACCACATCATGTTTTACCTGAGCACAGCACCATGCGGACAGGGCCATTATCACCACTGATTCACAAAGTCTGGGATGAGTACAATGTTTCTCACACCACAGTGACAGAATGTGGCAGAAAGTTTGGTCCAGACAGCCAAAACCCAGATGCCTAATGAAACTCATGTGCACCCTCCATCTCCATGCTCAGCCCAGAGAGTGCATACATCAACACAGCAGGGCTCAAGACTCTAAGACTTCCCTACCATCAAACACATGCTCAACACCCATGATAAAAAATTACGTAAAACTAAACTTCCTACTGTCATTTACAAAAATCCTCTACTCAGTTTATACAAACTTTCCGAACCACCTGATTTGGGAAAAACACTGTTAACGCACCCAAAATGTTGGTAATTATTATTATCATAATCCTGTTGCACAAGAGAACTTTTTGTACTCAACTACAGTAAGTACAGTGAGCCAAAGTCAAACCAGGAAGTTGGTTTCTAAACTGTGATGTTTAGGTAGGGTTAGGTAATAACAGAATACAATTAACATTATTGAAAATATAAAATATGAGTAACTGTAATTAGTCAGTTTAAATTGGTGGTATTCTGAATACAATTACCATCTTTAAAAACAGAAGGGATTATTTTTGTAATGATTTTGTTTTATTTACTCTAACAGAGCAACAGCAACAAAATCAGACTGATTGCACTGGAAGGTCCTAACTGGCAACGAACGATGCAGTGAGCCATTTTGAGCTGAGCACTTATTGAATGTCCTCTTTTTATTTATTCCTGTCACTCACTTTGAAAGTCTCGCTACTGATGAGGAATGGCTGATTCATGAAATGAGGGGTTATCTGCACAACACCTCCTCATTTAAATACCAAAACCAAAATAAAGTGGCAGCTGAGCTGGATGGAGATTGCCAGAGAGCTGGAGGTTTCTGATAAATGATCATAACAAGCAACTTGCTGTTGGTTAAACTGTACTTCATTTCCAGTATATATCTCAATATAAATCATGTGCTATCTGTTTACCAATGACAAACACAGAAAGATAGCAAGTACTCGACCATCTTTCAAGTGGTTACATCTACAGTTGCACGCACAGCTGACAGGTAGCCTACATGGTTTGTTTACATGATGTAACAGAAGTGCTTGTTGTATGTATTCAGTGTGGACAGGGAGTGACGCTGTTAGGACAGGATGTAAAAATCATGAGGTGTTTTTCTCATAAACAGATTAAAGTGTGCAGTATGCCTCCACACGACAATGGCAAGACGATTCTGAAGTATTACAAAAGTAATCCAAAGTATTTAGAATATGTTACTTAGTTTGAGTAATCTAATGGAATAAGTTAGAAATTACATTTTTAGGCATGTATTCAGTAATCTGTAGTGGAATACATTTTATAAGTCACCCTACCAACACTGCTTACAAAGGGCAGTTTGGGACACGGTCACCATCACTTTCTTTTCCAAATCAGATCATTTTAATCCCAACTGGTCTGAACATCTGACTGCAATTAACATGATGAGTACAGTCAGTGATCACTGATAGAAACTATGGTCCAAACTACAAAAATAAGAAGCTATGATGTGAAAACAGATTTTTTCTTTAATGTGTACATGCCTAAAGGACAACAGCTTTAGCATACTTTAGGTGAGCCCAGTGTTTTGTTGCTACTTTGCATGATTCTAATTAAATTTTAACCGTACACAGTCATTTGATCCAGTGTTATTATAAAAACATTGTTAAGTGCAGCTTTAAAGGGACAGTTCACCAGAAAATCAGAAATACACATTTTACCTCCCACTTGTAGAGCTATTTATCAGTCTTAGATAGTTTTGGTGTGAGCTGCAGAGTGTTGGAGATATCAGCTGTAGAGAAGTCTGCCTTCTTTCCAAAATAATGGAACTAGATGGCACTCAGCTTGTGGTGCTTAAAGTGCCAAACATAGATAAATAAGTAACTGTAATACATTTGAAAAACTCAACAGTAATGTCTCTTTCTAGAAATCAGGACCAGGTTACTCAAGACCTCCAGACCTTGCTGTGAGCAGGAACTATCTTCTCTGTACTGAACTACACCCATCACCTGTATCACCACGCAGAAGGTAGCTGCAAGCTCACCTGGCACCACTAAGCTAGCTAACATTATAGCTCAGCCGAGGAAGACACCATTAATATTTACACATTACTCTGTCAAAAGCACGATACTCTCGTCCAGATGCACTCTTCCTTCTGCGCAGGGATACGATTGGCAGGTGTAGTTCGATAGAAAGAAATTAGTTCCTACATGAAAATGCTCAGAATAAGGTCTGTGTTATCTTTAGTAACCAGGTCATGATTTCTGGCAAGAGACACTACTGTTGAGATTTTCAAATGTATATTTTTGGTGCTTTTTTGGTGAGCCAGGTGTCATCTAGTTTCATTATAATGGATAGAAGGCAGACATCTCTACGGCTGATATCTCCAACACTTTAGACTGTTAAATAGCACTATAGTTAGGAGGAAAAATATAGATTTTTGATTTGAGGGTGAACTGTCCCCTTAAAGCCTCCAACAGACTGTGAAATCTTAGCAGTCTTTTAAGCTTAGTGCAAGCTACACTGTGCAACATGGATCTAATTAACTTGGGTATGACATCAAGTTTGATGTGAAAGCAAACATGAATCGAGTCCTGGCTATAGCAGCATTTATGCATCAAAAAGGTCTGAGGAAGAGGAGGAGGGGGAGAATGTTGATGCGGTCATGGCTGGGAGGCCAACTTGGCATACCAATTTTGCTGTGAGAGCTCTAACAGCAGTCACACAGTGAGATGGTCATCCCAAATTTCTGACAGTTATAATTTTATCCCAGGCTATCTTTGATTGCAAGACTGTGCCAGCCATCCTTGAACCTCTCTCACTGTGCAACGTAGGGCCACTGTTTTAGAGCACGACCAAAGATATTGCTATGTTTCTTTCATGTTGGTCATCTTATATCTGGGACAGCCCAACATCACACAGTGTATTCTGGGATTTAGGGTCCAGCTTGTTAGTTTCTGTGGGTGGAGAATTCTCTCTCTCTCTTTTTTTTTTTTTTTTTTAACACTTATTGAAAAGTTTTTACGTACAAAATTTGCTGGTAGATAAGGACCCAGTCTCTATACATTTTGGACTTGAAGAGAACCCTGAGTTTAAAAACTATACAATTTTTTTATTTATTTATTTTTTTTTTGCATCAGTCCACATCAGAAGCTTTGTTAAACAGGCAGCAGTCAGGTGAGAATCTGATCTTCAGCTTTAAAGCAACAGTTGCCCTTACAGGCCTCCAGCTCCGCCTTTTATTAAGTGAGCGCTGGCACTAAACCTCTTTAAGTAAAGGTAAGCTGCAGCTATATCCTTAAATGCAGCTTGTGTGTCCAGATCTCAGTAAACTCCCCAGGCCGATTCTCCCTGAGCCCTGCACCCTGAGAACTAAAACAAACTGCAAGTTTCAGGAATGCAAGCATGGGAACCTGCCTCTGTTTGTGTGTGTGTGTGTGTGTGTGTGTGTGTGTGTGTTTGTATAAGAGAGAGAGAGACACGAGAGAGACACACACATGCACACAAATCATGTGAATGTTTGGGTGAGTGTGACCTCTGTAGAGGTCTCAATTTTTATTTACATGCCCCCGTAAATCTTCTTTTATTGATGCCGCTGACTTACTATAACAAACAGGCTGCTCTCAACACGCTTAACAATCAACAAAACCTAGGAAAACCAAAGCTCATATCAAAGCATAGAATCACTCGATGAAATAGATTTATGGGGAGTTGTCTGCTTTAAAATACAGATGACTCCCTGCTGTGTAAGCTGGTTTAAAAAAAATGGATTGGGTTAGCCTAGATTCAGGGACACAGAGACTGAACAGTATACATGTATGGTAGTATGGTATGTCTGGGCATGCAAACACTCTCTCTCTCTCTCTCTCTCTCTCTCTCTCACTCACACACACACACACACACACACTCTCTCTCTCTCTCTCTCTCTCTCACACACACACACACACACACGTGCACAAAGATTAATCTCATGACAGGATGCAGCCAAATCCTCCAAAGTTGAAAGGTTTAAACCAGTAATTAAACTTCAGCTTCATCAGCTTTGTTCCAGAAACAATTACAATCAGGTCTGGGGTTCAAAGCACACTCACCCTGTCCTGGAGGCACCATGGGTACTTGGCTGGTGTCAGGAGAATGGCAGGTGACACCGGATTGGGTGACAATGGCAGGACTGTGGCTGTCCTGGAAGTAGCAGGAGTAGGACTCCTCTTTCTCTAACACTGGGAGTCCCGGGACTGACAGAGACACCTGACAGAAGACAAAAATCACTGATTGAAAGTCCTGGTAAATCATCGGAGTCAGAGCTAGTGTGCTGTTGAACCATATTTGTACATGCTAAAATGCAGCTCAGTGTGGCCACACAGATCAGATCAAAATGACATACTTTATGTTTTCCTAAACTTGACCTTGGTGGAAAATGTCATGAGGTTGAGAAAAGATATAAAGGAGAGTTCATAAGGACTTATGCAAAGACAGCCGCAGTGCCGAGAATGTCCAACTGTACTTAAACTCGGCTCCATAATTATGTGACAGTGTATATTATTGAGATGGGTCTATCGTGATAAAACTACAATGTTAAGAAGATGCACTAATAAAAGCGCTTCTCAGATACTTCATCCAATATGTTCTCATTGTGTTGTTTCATGCAGGCTATATAAACGTGAACAAGTGAGTTGGTGAAAGATCTTACTTTCTTACCAAAGATAGATTTGAAATAAAAAAAGGAATATGGGCTACCAGTCACAAAAGTAAAACTAAATGGCTGTCATATAAGAACGGCTGCTCACACTCACTCTCCTGTCTTCTCATATTCAGCCACAAGAATCCCAATTAGTATGGTTGAATGAAAATTATTTTCAAATTTATGCATAATAGGCACAGCGTTTGTTTCATGAATGGCGGAATGGTGCATCGCTTTAAATGTTGCTGCAACAAGGAATTGTGGGATGGCATTATCTTCCTAGGTCAAGCTCCCAGAAACAGTGCAGGATTTGAAGCCAATTTCACACAGTGGATAAACGTGGCATTACAACATCCAGGCCCATCACGTGACGCCATTGGGCCCAAAAAGACTTACCTTTAGACTTAGATTAGGAAAGTGACATTTGTAAAGCAACAGAATTTTTTTTTAGTCTCTTTCACCAACACAGCCAAGCTCTACAGAGGAGTGAAGCATAAAGTTGAGGAATCTATGAGTACAGCAGGAAGGGTGGCTTTAACTTGTGACGCCTGGACTTCAAGGTCAGTGGATTATGGATTCCTTTATTTCACAGGACTGGCAACTGCTGTCTCATGTTCTCTAAACTATAGCTGTACACAAAAGTCACACCGGAGAAAACACTACAAACCTCATGCAAAATGCAGCACAAGGATGGGGGATTGCCCATACAAACCTTGTTGTTGTAGCTTCGAACCTAAGTGTTGCCATTCAGTTAGTGGGACACCTGCATCTCAAGTGTTTTGCTCACAAGCTTAATCTGACCTCGTAGAGGTGTTTAATCAGTTTTACGACAGTGTTGGTCTGTCTGTCTGCTTTGCATCACATTTTGTTGCCACAAAAATGACTGAAGCCAAATGAACAGACTGAAAACTTTATCTTACGAGGTAGAAATGGATTTTGATTAAGTTCTACTTTGGGAAAATAATTTGCACTTAGAAAAAAATAGGCAATAAACTGTAATATGTTTCATTGCAATACTCAGCATATTGCAATAATATTGTATCCTGACCACAGTATCGTGATAACATCGTATTGTGGGTCTTCTGGTGATTGCCCCCCCAGTCACAACCTCTATGAAATGAGTCGTTTCACTGACAGGATTTGATCTTTTCGGTCAGATAACTTTGGATGCCATGATGCAGAAGATGTGGGTAATTCCATACTACAGAAACTGAGCTTTACTACATGATGGTCTGGTGTATCCTATGCCAAATAAGATAAGAGTGGAAGCATTTCAACTCCTTTATTTAGTATTTAGAGAATTCTACCAGCTATTATCATGGCTGCCAATCAGATACTTTCTGGTCTTTTCACTCAGTTAGGAACCTTCCTACGCAAAACAGACTATTTGAGTTTCTCTCTGCCCTTTATCAACACAATGAGACATCACATGTACCAGGAAGTGCAGAGGACAACCAACATCCAGCAGCAGACTGGTAGAGCATTGAAAGCATGATGGAGAAACAGAATTAGAGCACAATGTTCCCAAATGCAACAGGCAGAGTTACTGGACAGATATCTCTGCGTTACTGAGTCCACACCTGTGCTGTTACAGAGGACACTGAAGGTCACAATGCCCGTAAGTGATTAAACTGTCTGAACACGTGAATCTGATCTGTTCACTTGTAAATGTCACTGTGGGATAATTTGATTTGAAAAGTCAAACTGGCTCCCCTGCTGCAGGAGCATAAATCATACTGATCAAGCTCTGTGATTTATTATCATACTTTTATTTTTATTTCGGCTCCAGTGTTCTTCCTCATTCATGTGGTGTTTCTGCACTGCAGCTCCAAGATATTATCAGCCAATCAAGAGTCGGACCTCTACAGTGATGTCTGTCCTTGGATTTTCTGTCCATTAACCTACACCTTTCACCTACTGGCCACATGTCTCACCTGAGAGATACAGAGTAAAGGTAAGGGAATGACACGTATTCCACTGCATTCCCAAGGTTCTTCAAAATGAAAAAACTAAATTGCAACTAGAAGTGTACTCGGAGGGTGCAAACAGCTGCCAAGGCCAAATGACCCATCTTACAATGCTGAGGGAGCAATATACGACATTCAGAACATTGATATCGCAGCAAACTACTGTTGCGTACATCCCCACTGGCTAGCTTATTGCGCTAAACACTACTTGGGCTGGGTGTGCACGGAAGAACTATCCTCATCGTAAGATTACACTCTTTGTGTCTATAAATACCTTGATTCACAACTTAATTTGCTTTAAAACCACAGCTGAGGTTGCTGATCCTGCGGGGAGTCAGGAGGCAGTCCAGCCACTGAAGTTTCAATATGTTTAATGAAAGAGAAACTTTGTCGATTTTCAACCAGCTCTCCATCATCACAGTGTGCACTGGCAAAAGTCCAGCAGACCTCTGCTGTGAACTGGGCAGAAGGCTCTGGGTGCTTGTGGCAGAGGGAAGCCAAGCACTGTTCATCTGTACACACTGTGATGACAGAGCTGGTTGAAAATCAGCAAAGTTTGCCTTTTACGGCTGTAGCAGCTGAAACTCTGTCAGTGACTTTAGTAAAAAGATAAACAGAGGGGAGGCATACACATGTAAATACACATAATGGAGATACAGGGGCATCGAAACCCAACGTCCTGCCTGTGAGGAGAGGGATGAGAGGGGTCAGAGTTCCTCAGTGTCTTTTGGCATGGGTGGTTTCAAAGCCATTGCTGAACTGACACTGTTGCAGTTTCACAAGGCGCCCAGCTATCAGACACCTCTTTGAGCCAGCACCTGACTTTGCAGCACCTGAGTATTACTTGACGATAATGACAAAACATTTTCATCAGCGACCTTTTGTCCATGATGAAAATGAGACAATGACACGCTAAAAATAGACCTTGATAATAAAAACTAAGATGAAATCTATGTTTCATTTTACATTGATGAGACAAGATGTGACGAAAATGTTAATGGTGGACTATCGGACATTAACAACAGAGAACAGCTGTGCTTGTAATTATCTTCAAATGCCGCATGAGCTTCAGACTGGCAAACTCTAGCAAATAGTCTGTGCCAGGATGTTGTGCTGACCACTGAACAGCAGCGGAGGAAGCAGCCACTGGCTGCCTGACTTCATAGCTGATCCCTGCAGGACTCCATTCAGACTGGACTCAGGGTTTATGGTTTGATGCTGTTTGACAGGCAAGTAGGAGACTCAGTTATCTGTGCTTTTCCTGCACCAGGACATGACAGGACAGGGCTCTGATCACTATCATCTCCTGACGCCCTGACACTTAACAAAGTCACATATCCAACACACACACAGGACCAGCCAGCATACAGTAAATCTCCCAGCTAAGCTGATATGGGACTATTGGACGAGTTACGGCAAGGTGATATGTGGGCCTGAGATTTATGGTGTTTTGGTATGTGAGGAGACTGTTTTTGTATTATTTTGGGGGGTGGGGGCATCTGTGCATTTTGTATTGCAAGATATCCTTGAGAAAGGCCCGTAGATGTCTGAGGTGGATGAGTCTCTTAATCTGCAGTCAAAACCAGAAAAGATGGGTTCCCTCATCCTCCCTTAAATCCTTTGTGAGGACATGTACAGACCAGTACGTGAAGACTTTTGTTTTGCTTCTTTGCTGCTTGAGTTCATGTAACTGTATTGCAGACTTACTGTCCTGCTCTCCTCCCTGCTGACATTGGAGGGGTTGAGGTCCTGGACTGCCAGACACTGCTGTTCCATGTCAAAGCTCCACAGCCACTGACCTGGCTGATTCCCACGAGCACACTGTGACTGCAACACACACCTGCAGGGAAAAAAACACAGAGGACGCCCTCTTACATCTTGTACACTACCTTCACTGTGTTTGTGAGCTAGAGACCGACTCTCCATCTCTGTCTCTTTAACTCTATTAAACAGCCACTTAAACTTGAGGCGTGGAAATGACCTTCAGTATATACTGCAGATCCATAAATCTCACTGTGATTGTAAAACTGCACACCAACTCCTTCCTGGATTGTTAAAATGTTTTTATAGGTAGTTGAGAGGTCTGGTTTCTATTCTAATATAAAGTGTGTGTGAAACAAGTTGGAAAGAACAAGTAAAGACAAACAGATTCCAAAACTGGAAAATATAAAAACAGGACTGTTGTGAACGCAGGAAGGATAGAAGAAAATAAAAGGAGTAAAGATGGACAAAGAGAAAAACATCCAGGTGAGGGGGAGGAGGGAGGCCAGGTGGTGATGCAGAGCAGCGAGGAGAGAGGAGGAGACACAGATGGGATGGAAATGTAAATTTCTTTCATCAGACTCAAACACAATCCCACCTGAGCACACTCAGTTATTTTTTAAGATGACTTGGCAAAAAACACTTCAAACACTAACGAGAGTGCCAGCAGCCTTCTTGTCCTCTGATATTTCACTACATGCAGCACTGAACTTTTTCTTCAGTACCAGTCTTTGAAGTAGACCTGGGTGGATCAAAATTACTGAAAATAAACATCTCACAGCATAAACAGCTCATTTATAATGAATTTTAATTTTACAATTCTTACAAAAGCAACAACAGATTAACAAACACTCAATAATGCTCACAGTAAATCCCAGGATGTAAAAACTTCAGATAAGACTGTGATTAAAGCAAAACAACTTGCCTTTTTTGTTCTCCCTCTTACAATTGAAAAGTCAAATTTATAAGCAAAAAAAGCATCATTACTTAATCTAATACACTCAAGTGATTTTGCAGCTACAGTTTTACTCCGTGTGGTTCGACCAGTAGCTTATAGTGGCTGATACTAGCTAGTGTTAGCAAACTTTAGGCATATATTGCTGTGTTACTGACATAACTGAGCCAGTCTGCTTTGTGATTTTCTTCTACTTTTCCCACTGTTAAGCTACGTCTTAGCATTTAGCATTTTCACGTAAGTATCATATGTGGCCACAGTGGCCGCTGTTCAGCCAAGGTTCCATAGACTGGCTTTAACAGTACAGATAAAAGTTTGACATTTTTATCTGGTTGCTATTATTCAGTCATTTTTTTTCTGAGATAGTCTACAACGGTGTATTAAGGCCATTGTAGGTTAAAAAAGAAAATAAGGAACAATGCGGGGCTGGCAAAGGGCGGTAATATTCACAGAAAAACCTCAGAATTTCTGAGATTAAAGTAATAAATTTTCAGGAAACAAACCTGGATATTCTCTGAGATTAAAGTCATAAATTTTCAGGAAACAAACCTGGATATTCTCCGAGATTAAAGTCATAAATTTAATAGGAAGAAAACTCATAAATTCATGAGGAAAAAAAAAATTCTAAGACTATTAAAGTCAGACATTTTTGTAAAAAAAAAAAATGCCTTAAGGACTTTCTGCTAGAAAGTCTGGTAACGTATTAAAGCATAAAAGTCCACATAGGGAGGAAGCCATAGTAGATGAATGAGTCAAGTACAGGACTATAACCCAGGAGACTGGGGTTTTTGTCCCATGTGAGTCAGTGATGGCTCATTATTTTCAGACTCAGCTGACTTATTATTTTCATCAGGGTGTATAAATTTTTTGAATGCACACTGTACATAAGCAGAAGAGCTGAATAGACTCATTCATGTTTATGTCATATTTAAATGTTGCTAGGATGCCAAGGGAGGACATCCAGCAGATGGCCTGGCTGTGCCCCAGACATCAGAAAAATTCCATTTTGGAACTATTTTTGAACCGTAACTGAATGTATGGATTGGACATTAAAACGGCGGTCATTTAATGACTCAGTGTTTGCTGGGATTCTCTATTTACTGGTGCCAGTCATGATTCTATAATCTCAGAGAGTACCCAAGTGGCTTTCTTATAAATTTACAACTTAAATCTTCCTCCCCTGCTGTGTTTTTTTCTTTAATCTACAATGACCCTAACATTCCATTGTAGTGTTCTGCGTTATTCTCTCCAAATCAGAAATTATAATTTTCTGTATGCTGTAATTTAAGGAGGAGTAAAGATGTAATATAATGTAAAGAGAAGATGGTGCCTTTTGTGTCACAAGATGTGCCAACATTTGCTACTTTTGTCTAATGAACAATAAATCTTAACATATATTCAAATGACACTGACACAAAACCAAAAAAAATCAACAAATTACTGTAACGGACTGTTCTTTATTCATTATAGGATGGGGTGGCTTAGGTGTGACTACTTCTTTTTTTTTGTTTGTTTTTGGCTACCTAGAAGCTACAAATATTTTCCCTTGAGCCTCTCTGAGTGACTGGCAGAAAATGCAAGACCCTCCCTCCACCCTATATAAGTTAGTAGATTTTTAAAAACTTACCCTTTAAAGTTTGAAAGTAAGAAATGGAAGATGAAATCCCGGAGTTGATAAAAGCCTCGGTTTTTCACTCTTGTCATGCATGCAGGTTAGTTTGTGCAAACAAATTATTTTTGGCAAAATTTTAAATGAGACACAGAATAAATTGATTCTGATGAACTATCACTATTTTAACTCAGATGTGATTATGTTTTTTTTCTGACTGAGGCATTTGTCGCACATAATATGTTCAAGGATTGTTGGATATTTGAAAATCCAACAATTCTGCAGTTACTGGCTATCATAAATGGTGTAATTTTGGAGATTTTTAAAAACATGCCTTCCAAACAAAGGCAAATTATTTTTGCATGTTTTCTTTAAATATCGGTGGCAAAGCAGATACAAAATACAGCATTTAAAGTTGTCTGTCCCTCCACTGAGTCAAAATATAAAAACACAAGTCCCTCCCCAGTGCTTAAAAAAATTAAGTGACATGCCTCCCCCTTGTTGAACCAGCCTCTCCCCCTAGTCCTAGCAATGTTAATGGCATGGCTCTGGCAATGTCATCCCAGCTGGACCAGAATGAAATATCTCAATAACTATTGGGTGACTTGCCAAGAAATTTGGTACCCATATTCATGTTACCCTCAGGATGAATAGTAATCACCCTGAGGACTCCCTGTCTTTTCATTTAGCGGCATCATCCGATTGAAATTTACATTTTTCCAATACACTGGTTTATGACAACACAACTGCAAAGCTAGTGCCATGGTGATCATGGTAAATGTAATACTTGCTGAGCATCAGCACGTTAGCATTGTCATTGTGAGTATGTTAGCATTCTAACATTAATGTTTAGCTCACTGCTCTGCTATTTGTAAGTGCAGTATCACAGAGAAGCTAGCATGGCTGTGGACTCTTGGTGAATAACAATAGGTTAAGAAACTGTCACAGATCATTTATTTGTCTATCAGTTGTTAATGGACTAATTAATCCTTTCAGCACTGGTTCTCATGTTCTTTATGCTTTACATGTGATGGCTCTGATGTCTGTATTTGAAAAAAATCAGTTCTCTGCCTTCAACAAATGAGCTACTTTGTTACATCAAGTCACACCTTAAACTTTAGTTTTAGGTTCAGTTCAGTTAACTGCTTATGTGTATCTCACCTTCCCTCCAGGACACACCAGCCACAGTAGGGGTCGTGGGCCAGCAGGCAGGAGTGGCAGTCTGGGTGCTGCTGGCATTCAGCCACTGGTCTCTTCTGCAGCTGGAACCAGGACAACACAATCATGTTCAATCGTGCAAGCCATGCACACTAAGCTTCGGAAATCTGATTAAAAAAGAATAGGTGGCCCACATTTTCCAGTGGAACAATGCAAAATGAAAATATGGTCATTAGAATAATCCTAACTACAGGCTGCTGTACTGGAAGAGAAAGAACTGGGGCAGAAACAAGAGAGTCAAAATTATTTCTCTTTAGCTTTATTACATCAACACAGGAAGGACGCGTCTAGAAAAAAATGCATGAAATGAGGCTACAAGAGTGCAATTACTGTCATGTTGCATCTGTGTGTGTGTGTGTGTGTGTGTGTGTGTGTGTGTGTATACCATGTTATGAGTCATGATGAAGAGATGTTCCTCTTTCTGGTCCAGAATGAGGTCTGAACTGATAGCTGCTTTCTGCTGAATGGAGATGACAGAGTATTCCTCCACCTCGCCGTTTGGCCCCAGGAACACCTGAGGAAATGTACACATACATAGGGATGTTCAGATTATGTAATGATTTAACAGACTGCTGAATAAAAATATGCACTGAGCAGCAACTTAAATTGTCAATCACTTTAAAATGAAATTCTGTTGAATGCCTTCATTTTGAATGAGAGGATAAAAATAGATTGTTTCATTATTTTTTGCTTCTTGCAATTTTCACGACACAGTTACTGACTTTTTTAAAGGTCATAAACACACAGACTAACATTAGAATTTTATCTGACTGTATTATACATGTTGAAGCAAATATGGACGAGAAATCCTGGGTGTTATTATGGAATTGGAAGTCAGTTACTGAGCATGCATGTCAACAGATCAATCTCTATGATGGCTGATGAAGACTGTGTGATAAGGTGGAAAGTTTGGAAAACAGCTATTAAGTTAGTTCTTACAGGAATAAGCAGGCTGATTTCGGAATGGCTCGACTGTCATTAAACCTGTTCAAAGATGTTGGGCAACATTAACTGTATAATGCTAACAGCCCTGTCACTCTGTGTGTGACTCTGTCAAAGGTGTTTTGTCAAAAGACTAGTTGTTCAATTTGAAACAAATGGGAAGCAGAAGTGAAATGGAACTCAAATAGTACTTTTTAAAGATATTTTTAGGGCTTCTTGCCTTATATCGATGGGACAGTATTCCCATTAAAGGGGAACAAAGAGAGAGAGGGGATGACTTGCAGCAAAGGGCCATGTGACAGAGTTGAAAAAATGGCTGCCGCAGAGAGGACACAGCCATTGTACATGGAGCGCCTGCTCTACTACGTGAGCTACTGGGCACCAGTTAGAAATTTCAACTAGAATGCCCCCTAAAGTCAGATTTTCGACTCAGTAAGTTGACCGAACATCTCCAACCCCAACCTCAAAATCCAACATGGCTGCTCAACACATCAACAGTAGTGAAAGCCGTAGTAATATACTGAATATTAGCATTTCAATCACACTTGTGTCTTATTAAAACAGTCGTACACACAGTACTGTGGTGTTTGTATGTGCAAAATACCACATAATGCCTTGTGCTAACAATGGCTAATCTGCCTAGAGCTGGTATTGCCAGTTGTCTTTCTTGGTTTTCCAATTTGTTGAACTGGAACGCTGTCAACTCAGGTGTGACATCATTCCAAGCTCTGACTCCTGACATAAATGAGCATACGACATCCCTCTGTCCTTTGGACCCGCACAGTGGATAAGGAACTTTAACAGGGGGAAAAAAATGGTAGACAAACACAGCTCCCTCTGGAGACACTAAGGGCTTTATACAACTTTTTTTAACATATCCATTTGTACTTCCCAACTCCTGTTAATAGACTCTGATGTGTATAATCAGTGGCATCTCCCTTTAACTCTAAGAAATAACACTGATAAATTAAAACAGTTGGAGCCAATAAACAACCAGACAACATAATGAGGCCTCGACAGCAGTCTGACATTGTACTGGCTGTTAAAAGTCCAGAGCTGCTGTAATGTGGGTTAATACGAGAGGGCAGCCTGACCAACTGCTCCACATCAGCCTTTTGATGTTATTTACAGGAGCCTAAACATCAGCTTCATTCCATCTAATGACATTAGAGTGATATTCCACTGTGAGGGGATCTCTGCTGGAACAAAGAGAGCAATCATCCTAATGGCAAAATCCAGCACAGGTCAGGAGGAAGTGTGGATTCCCTGATCTGCCCTATGAGTTCAGGCATGTGTGTGTGTGTGTGTGTGTGTGTGTGTGTGTGTGTGGGGGGGGTAGTTGCAGACACTGGAGGCTGTGATGAATATGATATGGCAATTTAAGCCAGGATGTCTCCCTGATGCCAAGCTAATCCAATCCTTCAGGTATGTGGAGGATTTGAGGTCAGCTATGAAGTCTGACACTCTTTGATCCCACAGCTCCTCAAAGACAGTCTATCCAGGCTTTAATGCCTGTCCATCCAGACTAGAGCAAATAACTGAAACTACACAACAGAAGGGGAAACTGAAAGAAGTGACTAAACAACGTTCCTGTCTTCAAACAAGTAAAAGAAGAGCAGAAGGCACACACATTAGGAGCTTCTTCTATTAGTTAGAAAGACAATAATTTCAATGTTTTTAAGGGTAAGTAATACAAAACATGTCAAATAAGAAACAGCAAAAACCCAGTGTCAAAAGAGGATTGGAAAATATAAGAAAGAACAACAGGAAGCTGTCTAAGAGCCATTGCATGCCTGCTGCACAAACCCTCTCTTTCTTCCACCATGATGCACTGAGCTGACAAACATTCAGAGATGGAATCCTAACTGGTCAGCAATGATTCTTCAACCATCCATAAGACTGGTGAGGTTTCAGGAATTAAACTTCCCTTAAAATCATACTGGCTCCTGTGTCCGAACTTCATTTAGCTCTCTTGTTATTCCCAGCAGCTGCAATTAGCCAATCGCTGCACAGCATGTTTATCTGCTAGGGGCCTGAGGTCAACAACACTGGGAGGGAGTCAAAACACAAGAATAGATTTTCCTATCTCTAAAAACAACAAGGAAATTAAAGGGAACGTTTTCACAACTCAGTGAAGATGTTTGCATGGCTCGCCCTTCCCTCAGTCCGAACATATTGAAGCAAAAGTATAGTTTCTGACCCATAGACATGTCTGAGAAATACTTTACACAAGATTTTAAAAAGATTATACCAGTCAGTTCCCATAATTAGTTTAAAAGTAAGTTATATAATGGTTGTTGATCGGACAACTGTCTGTCACATCACAATTTAATGTCTCTAAAATATATGACAAATCATTCAGGAATTTCTGGAAAGTCCAGTTCTCGTACTTGAAAAAGGGATCCCACATCATGAAACATTTCCTCAGAGAGCCTCTCAGTTTGCACCTGATTTTTTCCAGTTTGACAAAATAAGGGCTTCCCTTATCCACAGAGTGTGTGAAGGAGGTATTGGAGACTTCCACTTGAGTAACACCAAGCATCTGGCGGGTAGGGTAAAAAAGGCTGACAAGGCTGCCTCATGGGAATAGAGTGGCAGTACACCAAACAATGCAATCATAGTACTAGGCTGACCTAAAGATTTCCCCCCGTAGGTCTGTAAGGCAGGGCAAGACTACTTAGAACATGTGTACATGGCTCGCCAGTGCTTAGCTACACCAGTCCTAAGTTGGGTTCACGTCTTTATATACCCTAGAGAGCCTAACTTTTGTGAAATGGTTGTACTATTTTGCACTGGATCAGTCCATGTTTTGCACAGATAGATGATTTGTGTACCTTATCAAGGACACCCTCCTAAAGTTCCACAGAAAGAAACTAGCTGTAGGGAATAAATTTGAGCTTATATAGATGACATCACTCTTTTCAGGGCAGATCCTGGCTTGAGGAATATGTCCAAAATGTGTGAATCAACTGGCAGGAAACTGACTGGAAACAGGAAATTGGCCTTTCCTTTTCTAACATGACAGTGTCCTGTACCAGGCTTTATCATCCAATTACTGTTAATTTCGTCAGCTATTCTTTTTTGATCTAGTCTTGAGGCCTTACACACCAAGGGCGTTTATTTTGTACAATTAATCAGCATATCTCTATGTAGATTTTTTTCAAACTGTTGTTTTTGTCACAAATAGCTACTTACACACAGAATGCTAACATTAAGTGATGATGAAGCAATATGTCTTTTTTTTAAACAACGTAGATTTTTCTGAGCTTTGTACAATAGAGGCATTTAGGACGCATTTGACCTCATATCGCATTTGACCTCATATCTTTTGTAATGTTAACGCTAATGCGTCCTGATGCCTCCCCAAAAAACACTGCATCATCAATGCAAGACGTGGTGGTTGTTTTGGTCAAAGCACACCAAGGCTCTATAACTTGTCAATTTTACGCCGAATTGGATAAAGTGTTACATGACCATCGCTTGTTTTGCCCTGTGGAAGGAGATGTATCAAATTCTGCTGACAGTGTTATGCCCAGCTTAGGGCTGGGCAATAATCAGATTTTATTTTCACCTACGATTTTGTCTTCCTTTGATTTTCAAAACAAGATAATCGAGATAAGACTATTTTATGTCAGTATCAACTGTTATTATTATTTTCTGTATCACTCTTTTTTTAAATCCCTCTTAGTGGGGGGACATTAAAGCATAGATTCACATCTTTTTTTACGTATGAATACAGCAGCTCAGATAACCTGCCAAGAGCAGATGATGAATCCTTAAATTTAAATCACATTTTTGGATACACTGAAGATCCTGCTGTCATCATCAAAATGATCAATAGCCATCTGCAGGTAATTACCATGGAGACATTAAATTAAAATCAATTTAAAATGTGGTAGTTTCATTAAGTTAGATTCAACTGCTTTTCATGTAAAAACAACAGGGAACTTAACAATTGCCTGCTTAATGTTCATTTTGAGACATTAAAGGGATAGTGCACCCCAAAATGAAAATTCAGCCATTATCTACTCACCCATATGCCGACGGAGGCCCTGGTGAAGTTTTAGAGTCCAAGAACACAAAATTGAATCCACTAAGTATCCCCATACTGCTCATCCATAGTGATCCAAGTGTGCTGCAGCCCTGACATAAAAAGTTGTTTGGAAAAACGTCACATGAACTCTGTTTTTAGCCTCACTGTAGCCTGTAGCTCTGACTGCTTCTCTGTGCTCCTGTGCTCCGCATTCACGTGTGCGCGCCTGCGCGAGACCAGCGAAAGCATGAGCTTTGCTCATCCGTGTTTACATCACGTGACACGTGCACCGCAGGGAGAGACAACAGTAGCCACAGTCGCTAAAAGATAATTTGCACTACGGTCTTTTAGCAAAGGACAGCCCAACATGTCTGAAGACTTTGAAATTGAGGAGGAACAGCATTTCTTTGTTGAGCCATATTTGTTTGAGCCCGAGTATACGGACGGAACTCAGGCTACTGGACGAAGCAGCCGCCGCAGCTCATGAGCCTAACCCTCAGCCAGCCGCAGAATACCGGAGTCAAGCACTGGAAACCTAG